CTACATGTATTTCGTAGTTTTACAATCCCGTGTTGGGTCTTTGCGATGTGAGCGCACCGCTCAGGGGGTCGGATTTCAGTTGCCAGCACTGTCAGTGTAGCTGACAGTTGAGAGTGACTTAGCAGAACGACGATACGTGGTAATAAGGGTGCAGATGACAGCCTGGATCTGTCAATACCCGCCAGCTAGTAATAGTAATGCTTTCCCATAAAGAAGAACTGACGCCAGTGCTAGTGACGGCTGGACGACCTTCTTCTAGTCGTTGTTAGTGTTTCACTGGCCGCCACGAACAATACAATTAGTGTACAATCATGTACCTGCAGCATAATTATTACTAACGCCTCTCTGCTCTGTCCGTGTGCTTCAATCTCTCTGCCCAGTCCGCGGCGTTCTTCCACACGATCTGATTTTCTCTACTCAGTCCGTGGCGCGCCTCGCGGATGATTCTAGTTCATCTGCAGTCCCCTGCCGTCGCTCAAACTCACAAATTCACAGCCTCCGACAAACAAACTCCGACAAACGGCCGTGAGCTGGTGCAGCGACTGACACGCGAAGGCTGTCCACCGCTGAACGCAAGTCTGAAGACTGAAAGCCATCATCCACAGCACAGCGTTCGCCACAGAGAGCAATCATCCGTTGAGGGAAGCAGTTTCGACGATTGTAAAACTACACGCGATGACAGCAGAGCATGTCGTACAGAACATTTCACACTAGCAGTGACGTCTCGGGCGGTGGATCTTGCGCACCAAAAAAAGAAACGCAGAGACTTCAAACTCAAAACTAATAAGCTCTATTCAAGCCGCCTCCTAGTTCTAGTCGAGAAGCGTATACGCTATCATGGTTATAGACGGTAGTTAGCATTGGCATGTGACTTCTCGCCGACTCACGCGACAACGAGAAGTTTTACAGTTTTCAGTCGAAGTGACACCTTCTGTCACCTGTTGTGTTCATCAATCGAATCACTCGCGACGAGTCGACTGTAGAGTGTAGTCGGCGAGCCAAGCCAGTGTGACCAGTGCCAGTGCCGTGGTGACCTAGGGCTTAGGCGATAGTGTTATGTTGACTGTTGTGATGGCTCCAAACCAAGCCTGGGAGACGTGAAAACTGTCACGACTTCCTGCGCCAAACACTGAAACAGTGCGACCCCGAGTGCCAGATGATACCAAGTACAACCTCGGTCTTCCGAAAAAGGAAAGGCAAGAAAACCGGGCTTGAGCTTGCTCCGATCCAGCTCTGCACCAAGCCAACACACGACGCGATGGAGCCAAATGAAGACAACATTAAAAACCTAAGCTACAAAGTAAGGGTAGTAAGGCGCTAGGCAGCAGGCCTTGCAGCTAGCTTTGCGCAGATAATGATTATTTTGAGAAAAAAAATTGGCAGATTCTGCACGAAAAGCAGTGAACAAAGACATGACATTGTACTGATGCATGATGTAGTTCAGTAGTGAAATCAGGCAGAGCCATGTAAAGCTTCTACGTAACTGTCGTTTGACAGGTCATGAATACAATCATGTACTGAGTACTTGCCTGTGGCATGGCAGTACAGGAAAACCTGTGAATAAAGACCACCCCTCGGGGCCGGCCAGAGAAAGCGGTCTTTAGTGGCAGGTGGTCCTTAGTTAGAGGTTTGCACTGCACAACCATGCTGAATGTGAGACGGTCCGTGCCTGACAAAGTGGTCTGTAGTACCAGGCTGGTCGCTAGTCACGGTGGTCTTTAGTTACAGGTTTTACTGTAGTACCAGGCTGGTCGCTAGTCACGGTGGTCTTTAGTTACAGGTTTTACTGTAGTACCAGGCTGGTCGCTAGTCACGGTGGTCTTTAGGTACAGGTTTTACTGTAGTACCAGGCTGGTCGCTAGTCACGGTGGTCTTTAGTTACAGGTTTTACTGTAGTACCAGGCTGGTCGCTAGTCACGGTGGTCTTTAGTTACAGGTTTTACTGTATTACAGACTGCTTAGCACCTGTGCAGTATGAAGGCGCCTAGGCTAGTCCGTCGACTCAACGAGTTACGTTGTGCAGCTATTCGGAGAGGGACACCGCGAAGCGAGTTGTTTCACCAGAAATCACGCGTCGTTCTTTCTTTCAACCTTCAAGCTCAATGGTCAATGTCGTAATATTGACATGATCAGGACAGACCATTAGTATTAGAGACCCTGATATGGTATGAATTGTAGTGTTTGGTGAGCATACAACTGCCAGGCAGCAGAGACTCAAGTAAGGAAGGGGAAAGTGGACGACAATGCAATGATGTGATTTAGTATTCCCGCCTGCATCAGCTTTTTCTTCCTTTTTCTACGAGAAACCACGAACCCCGAGAACCCCGAGAACAGAATAGTGCATGATACTATTAGTAGTATTAGAGGTGGCTGCAGTCGCAGCTGTGGTGAGGAAACTGGAGTATCTCCGTCGACCTCTGAGGCTGAGGTCTCGGCTTCAGCGACACATTGAAATGTCTTTCCACCCAGTGCAGCAGAATCAGACTCAGAGTCAGAGAGTTGCTTTAGCAGAATTCGAGGAATTGCCCGCCATAAGGTTTGTATGGTTCTGCCAATTTCACTGCTTTTCGAGCATAATCCGCCCGTGCCTAGAACTTACATGTACATGTACCTGTGCTCTTTCAGCTTCACTACAGCCCCAGGGACTGGGTGATGTAGCCCTAGCCCCGGTAATGGCAGTAATACCAGTATAATGTATATCACGAGCACAGTGATAATAACGGTACATAACACGGACTACGGGGTTACCATTGGTTACCCAATGCTATGCTGTAGTGTAGACATGTCGACAGTCGCTAGACTACAGCATGCGAAGCACACCACACCGTACATACTAACATAGTGCAAGGGTTATCGGTTATGCGGTACAGCCAAACCTGTCCAGGCGACCACTCGGATAAGGCGATCACCTGACCTAGAGTACTGGAGCTCGCGCTATTCCGCCGACAACTAATGTTACTTGACACTTCGCGAGCTCCAGTGTGGGAGCAAATCCATTCCTAAACAAAATCGTCGCCGAAGTCGCAACCTCTATTTCGTACCTGTCCTAGACGACCACTGAAACCAGGACCAAGGCATGCTAAAAAAATCGACTCAAATGACCGTGGATAAGGAGACCACCTGTAGACAGCGACCACGTTTTGAAGGTCCCTTCAGCGGTCGTCTTAGACAGCTTTCACCGTTACGTATGTACAGATGTCAGTACTCCTGTGAGGCTGTGAGTGTTGGTACATGACTGTACGCGTACGAGTGACTCGTATGGATGCAGGCGGAAGAAGTGGAAGGCGGAAAACTATCGACAAAACGCCCGCCGCGCCTGGTCCAGCGGAAAGAGCTTGTGTGCTCATGTGCCTGATGAGTGATGTGGTCATGTGGTCGGGTGCGTCACGTGCACGCGTGCACGGCGTCTCAGCTCAGATCAGGCTGTACGTACTTACACTAACAGTATATCTACAGACTACATGTAGTGTGCATAGCATGCAGATGAGACAGAGTGAAGGGTAGTACCGTACTACACTCTACAGTGTAGTAGCAGCAGCGGTCGGTCATGGTCACGGCGCGGCAGTTCGGTTCAATCGAGTCGTGCAAATCATCAAGGCGAACGAACACCAGGCCGGGCTGGTCTGCATGCATGCACTGATTGCGCGGAATATCCGTGCTGAAAAGCAGCCGGCAAAAGAAAGAGAAGAGATCAAGAGCGAGAATTTCGTGCCGCGTGTGCATGTGCCGTGGTGAAAAAGAGAGAGAGAGAGAGGGAGAGAAAGGGGGGAATACTGGACAGAGCAGTAGTACTGTAGTAGTTCACTTGACAGTATTCAGTAACTGTAGTCTGTAGGTCGTTGTTCCCTGCTGCTCTTGTCCCGCTGTTGAACTTGGAGTGGACGTGTACTGTGGAGCGTAGCAGCAGTGCAGTGTGCCTGCGGCATAGACTCGAGCGCTCGCGCTCCTGGGCCCCCTGCGTGTGCTCCGTGTGCAGTAGTAATAACACAGCCCATGTGAGTGAAAGAAAAAAATAGGTGCAAGAAATTCGGCAATGTCCTGAAAAAGCGCTCGACATACAGCAGTGAGATAACCTCGTTTGGAAGAGACGAAAGCGCTAGCGCTACGAGAAACCCACCGCGTCGACAGGCGCTCAGCTTCACCAAACCCTCCCCGCACTGCTACAGGACTCTGCGGAATAGCTAGCGGCTGTTTGGACGTGTGCTACACCTAGTGTTGGTGCCCGAGCGATGGCCGACGCTTCGCTCTTTTCTCGGCGTAATCCTGAAGATGAGTTCGAGCTAATCAAAAAGGTTGGAAGCGGTACGTATGGCGAAGTCTACAAGGCCAAGGTGGTCAAAAGCGGACTGTACAGTGCGCTGAAGATTATCAACATCGACCAGGGCGATGACTTCGCCATTATCCAGCAGGAGATTCAGATCTTGGCGGACTGCAAGCACCCGAACATCGTGGCCTACTTCGGCAGCTACCTGCGCAAGGATAAGCTGTGGATCGCCATGGAGTACTGTGGCGGCGGCAGCCTGCAAGATATCTACAACGTGACGGGCGGCCTGAATGAGCTGCAGATCGCCTACGTTTGTAGAGAGACTCTGCAAGGTCTCGCCTATCTCCACGAGAAGAACAAAATGCATCGAGACATCAAAGGTGCCAACATCCTTCTAACGGAGGTAGGTGCTCCGGCTGATCATTAGTTTGCGAATTGATCTTTTCTTGTTGTGTGCACTGCTGTGTCGTGCTGCGTTGTAATCGCAGCGGCGTGTGCAGCATAATTGTCCATGTGGTGTCTGCGTAGCGAGCGGCCTGCGTGTTTTGTGCGTGTGCGTATGTGTGTGTGTGTGTGTCCATCCCGTCGCGTTGTTTTCTGTCTGTCCGTACGCCCTGACGGGTTGCTGAACGCTGCGTGCGCGCGCGCGCGCGCGCGCGGAGAACAAACTAGTAAACTCCCGCGTAGTGCTGTGACAGCGGGAGCAGAAGCGGAGAGTGATCTCTCTCCGGGATCTGAAAAGGACAACTGGTGCTTGGGACAAACCTCGACTCGAGTCGTGCAGCGTGATGAGCACAAACACCAATCGCGCTATCTCCGTCATCATCGCTTGATTGAAGCGATTCACTGCTCACTGCAAACTTCGACGCCAGTTATATTTTGACGCCGAAAATTGTCGGAATGTTTCCACGCGATAGTTTCTCGCAAACCACCAGTAGTATGTCCAGAATGCTGGTTGAATGTCGGATGAAACTCCGCCGAGTATTGGTCGGCGGGACGCTCCTGCGCTAGCCGACATTCGCAACTCTGAGCGTGTCTATTCGTCACTGTCACGTTCGTTCGCAGTTTGTCGTTCGACTTTAGCGCTCTATCCCTGGCTACGTGAATGGTTTTCCCTACACTCGGATCACGAGTCACAGTGTGTTCTTGCAAACAGCTGCCTGGCGACAGACGAGTCGTGCAGGAAGTAGGCAAACTCGGCGACACGGTCGCAGTACTCGTACCACCACACGCACTGCCAGGAAAAGAGTGGACCTGGGGATATCTTCAACATAGCCATTGTGTGAAGATCGCTTCAGGGCTGAGACCCCCCCCCCCCCAAAAAAACGTGTATTGTACAATAATTCTTGTATTGTAGTAAAACATTTCAAGCATACCTTTGTGTGCTGGGTGACAACCAGCAACCTAACATTCTGTAACGCCACTATTATGAGCGAACATTTAGTTTTAAAATGATGATTTTATAACGTTCGTTGTAGTGTCATTACTCGTATGTGCAAAAATGATGCGCATGTACAGTCATCTACAGGTTTTTACATCCAGAATTTGTTAACAGTCTCGTTGCAATTTGAAACATATCGCGCGCGCGCGTGTAACGCTGTTGAAGTACATCAGGTACACGTGTACCAGACACCAGCCTTGTACTGATGCTTGATTATGAACCGCCGTCTTGCTGGGTGTGGCCCTGTGCGTGGCTGTGTGTGTGTGCGCGCGCGCGCGCGTGTTGTGTGTGTGTGTGTCCATGTCACGTGTACTCACAGAAAGGAGATGTGAAGTTAGCTGATTTCGGCATCGCCGCTCAGATTACCATGACACTAGGAAAGAGAAAATCGTTCATCGGCACACCCTACTGGATGGCACCGGAGGTAGGCATATCATTGCTACTGCTGTCGTCTCTGCTGCTGCTGATGCTGCTGCTACTGCTGTCGTCTCTGCTGCTTCTGCTGCTGCTGCTCCTGCTGTTGATGCTACTGTCTCACTGTCGCTGAGGTGCTATGTTTCTTGTCGTTAGGAGCAAGACCCATTTTCCTGTTTAGCATGTGTGAATTCACGTGTTCACTGTGTGTGTGTGTGTGTGTGTGTGTGTGTGTGTGTGTGTGTGTGTGTGTGTGTGTGTGTATGTGTGCGTGTGTGTGTGCCTGACTCTGTTGTATGCACGCGTGTGATTGCGTAGGTGGCAGCCGTCGAGAAGAAAGGCGGCTATGATCAAAAGTGTGACGTATGGGCTGTTGGCATAGTCGCCATTGAACTAGCGGAGACACAACCTCCAATGTTCGACCTTCACCCGATGCGAGCTCTCTACCTCATGTCGAAGTCGAACTTCAAGCCACCGCAGCTGAAGCACCGCGCAAAGTGGAGTGCCGAGATGCACGACTTCGTCAAGTTCAGCCTCAAGCGCGACTCGAAGAAGCGGCCGTCCGCCAAGGAGCTCCTGAAGCACCCGTTCTGCGATCGTCCGCTGGTACGCGAGCTCATGACCAACCTGCTCCACCAGGCCATGAACCCGGAGGATCTGACGCGCTCACAGGACGAGGAGGAGGAGGAGGAGGAGGTTGCGCACCCACCGGCCAAGACGTCGCAGCTGCAGCGCATCAACTCCAGCCGCCACAAGCGCGAGTCGCGCACACCGAACATCGAGCCAGGCGACCTGGGCGGCGTCGGCGAACTCAACCTGATGCCGCCGATCAGTCGACTGCAGGACCAGAACTGGGACGCGTCTCCGGCCAACGCCGCCGCCAGCGCCAACGAACCGCCGTCGTTTCCGCCACCGCAACGATCGCACGCGGCAGCAGCGCCATCGCAGGCAGTAGCGCCTAGCGCTGCCGCCGACAGTGCCAGCGCTCCTCCGCTGCCGCCCAGACCTCGCGGCGCAGCCCCTGGTCCCACGTCGCCGGGGACAACGGTGGGTGCTGCTGCGGCCGCTGCTGCTCCACCGCCGGTTGAAGTGGCCCCGCCGCGGCCGGCCAAGCCGAGCATCAACCGACCAACACCCGTCGCGCCCATCATCAGTGCGCCGAGTGGCGGGTCTAACGATGCTCCACCTCCGCCACTGCCAGACAGAAGACCAACGCAGAGACGATCTGCTCAACAGGTAAGCACTCCTAATACAACACTGTGTGTGTGTGTGTGTGTGTGTGTGTGTGATGGGGAGGGGGGTTGGGAGTGCATGTTCTTATTGATGTGCCACTGTTGACAGAGTTACTGAGATGGTGGTTGCGATGGTAGTTGTGGTGGTGGTGGTTGCAGTGGTGGTGGCGGTGGCTCCGCTGCTACCTTTGAGAGCATTGTTTTTGCTGCTGTTCCTGTCCAGTGGCCAGGGCAGTGTTGGCAGGACAGGTCCTCCTGATACCGCTCAGTGTGGCACCGGCGGAAATACCATGCTGTTTAGATTACTGGCGGTGGTGCTGGTGCTGGTGGTGCTGCTGCTGCTGCTGCTGGTGGTGGTGCTGCTGCTGCTGGTGGTGGTGGTGCTGCTGCTGCTGCTGCTGGTGGTGCTGCTGCTGCTGCTGCTGGTGGTGGTGGTGGTGCTGCTGCTGGTGGTTGTGGTGCTGCTGCTGCTGCTGGTGCTGCTGCTGGTGGTGGTGCTGCTGCTGGTGGTGGTGCTGCTGCTGCTGGTGGTGGTGCTGCTGCTGCTGGTGGTGGTGGTGGTGGTGCTGCTGCTGCTGGTGGTGGTTGTGGTGGTGCTGCAGGTGCTGGTGCTGCTGCCGCCGCCACGACTGATGTTGATAATGCTTTTTTTATGGTCATCTGTGACAGACAAAACTTGTGTACGCGTTGCAGCAGCGCTCTTGCCCAGTCACGACCTGTGTGTCGCCACGGCGGCTGATCTGTTGTGTATACATTCTCGTTTCTGTTCGTATTGCTTGCGTAGACTACGTGCTTCTCGAAGATTTTCAGCGGCTGCCCGTTGACAATCCACTGTGCGTCGTCATGGCTGGAGCCAGAATCCCGCAGTCAACACATCCTACTTGGCGCGGAAGAAGGCTTGTATACGTTAAACTTGAACCAGGTAAGTTATTTGCAAGCCGCACGTTAAGCTAAAACGAATTGGCAGAGGCAACAACCGGTGGTCACTTCTGAGCGTAAGGATTAGAGATATCTTGTTCTGGTGAAACCAACATGGCGAGGATGATGCAATGTTAGTCCGTTTCCTTACCCTTCCCGCGTCGTGATTGTATCTCTGATTAGAGTCAGGTACGTAAAACAGGATCTCTAGGGCCCCATCAGCAAGATGGGTTACCTAGTATCGTCTGTCTATCTGCAACGGTAGATAGCCGGGCCACGCAGAAGAAGCGAGACTTTTGTCTGTTGCTGTGTCGTATCTGCCTCTCTTTCCACCACCAACACCACCGTTGACACATGTATCTTGTATGTGCGCGTGTGTGTGTGTGTGTGTGTGTGTGTGTGTGTATGTGTGTGTGTGTGTCTGTCTGTGCACGTGTGACAATATGCACGTTCCCGTGTACAACAGGGTGTGGACGTGGCCATGGAGCAAGTGTACCCACGCAAGTGTACCTGGCTCTTTGTCGTGCACAACGTACTAGTCTCCATATCCGGCGCCGCTGGTCATTTATGCATGACCGATCTAGTGCAGGTATGTAAGGCGACATCATGCTCATGGAGGGATGATGTAACACGCATCATTCCGCACTGGACGGTGACATCATTCATGTAGCTTCTATGTGCAGAGTGATGTAGCTATAGGGATCATTCCTTCGTTGTGCACAAAATGATGACATCATGATGATGTAACGCGAACGCCATGAGAGCCTTTCAGAGGAGTCCAGGCAGAAGCAATTATAGGACAATCGCTTCATGTCAGCCGTCAGCTGCAACAGCAGTAGTAATATCCTGATGACCAGTCTTGTCAACTCGTATTATGGAAACACTCGGATGCACTGCTACTTCACACAGTCAGACGGTTCTTTCTCAACTTCTTCTCTTTTTGATGTTCTCTGCTCCTATCCTGTGTGTTCAGATTCACGACAAGGGCACGGAGGGGTCTGCTCGCAGTAGTTTTGGCTCTCGCCGTCGTTTCAGTCACACAACGAAAGTGCCCGACTCTCGGGGCTCACTAAAGTGCTGTGTTGCAAGAAACCCGTTCAATGACCAGCAGTATCTGTGTGCGGCGACGGCAAAGTCTATCATTCTTATGCAGTGGTAAGCTGGTGGGTGGCCTGTGATGCTGCTGCTTGGGCACTGTTATGGCTATGGGCGAGAGTAAAGTAAGCTGCCGAGAGTGTGCAACTCTGCATCCAGGGTCCCCGACGGCGAAAACGCGCATCACATGTTCAAAGTACGATTTGTACTAATGTACTCCTGCTATGGCGATGGGCTTGGCTATGGGTACTTGGGTACTGCTGCTTGGGTACTGCTGCTTGGCTGCTTCTATAGCTGTTGCTGGTCATGCTGGTGCAGGCAATAGTAGGGTGGCAGCGGGTGCTGCGGCTGTCACATATAGTGTTCCTGCTGCAGCCCCTACTTCCACTGCTGCTGCTGCAGCCACTTACTTCTCCTGCTCCAGCTGCTCATTGTGACGGTAGTGATGGGTTGAACTTGTGGCGCTGTTTATGTGCGTGTTGGTGGCATTCAAGTTGCTGCTGCTGACAGTGGTGCTGGTGGTGGTGGTGCTGCTGTTGTTTCTGGTAGTGGTGCTGCTGCTGCTGCTGCTGCTGGCAGTGGTGCTGCTGCTGGTGTTGTCCCTCTGCTACCAATACCGCCGCAGCTAATGTGAGTAATGGGTTTGACTGTAGTGGTGGTGATGGTGGTGATGGTGGTGACAGTGTGCTATTAGGTTAGTGCATGCCACTGTCCGCTCTCTGTCTCCTTCGTTACCAGCTGGCTGATGCTATCTCTCTGTCTCTGTCTCTCTCTTCCTCACCCTCTCCCCCCTACTTCCCCATCAGGTATGAGCCGCTTCAGAAGTTCATGTTGGTAAAGACGTTTGACTCGCAGCTGCCGTCCCCGCTCAACGTGTTTGAGCCGTTCGTTGTCAAGACGGAGGAGTACCCCATCATCTGTGTCGGTGTCACACAAGGTGAAGGCGAGAATGTCAAGTTCGACACGATTAATCTGAACAGCAATGCCACCTGGTTTCCAAACAACGACACACAGGTAAGACTAACGCGATATAATGGTTTATAATTATGCTAGTTTAGATTCTTGGTTGTAGGAAAGCGAATCAGCACACGAAGCACAGAAGCTTTATAGTTTCCAGTAGGCCTTTGGTACCATTACTCTTCAAGTCTAATACAATGGTGATTAAAGCAAGTCCTCATAACCGGCACTTTGGCGGTCAGAGCATTGACAAAATACCCCTTTAAATTATGCTACACTGTAGTTGGGGCACAACGCCTTTGTGACAACAGCACATTACGCGTGTTGCCTCTTCCGGTATTAGGTTGGACGTTTGTACAACTTTTTGTGTCTCTTTTTGTCTCTGTCTCTCTCTGCCTGTGTGTGTGTGTCTGTGTCTGTGTGTGTCTCTCTCTCTGTTTTGTCTGTCTGTCTGTCTGTTTTGTCTGTCTGTCTCCCTCCCTCTCATCTCTCTGCCTCTCTGTCTCTCTTTGTCTCTGTCCCTCTCCACTCTCTGTCTCTCTTTGTCTGTCTCTCTTTGTCTCTGTCTCTCTCCCTCTCCATTCTCTGCCTCTTTGTCTCTCTTTGTCTCGCTCCCGCTCTCTTTGTCTCTGTCTCTCCTCCCCCCCCCCTCCGTGTAGATAAGTATCAAGACATTGTGTCAACTCGAGAAAGACACGCTGGTGGTGGCGTGCGACGATTCGGCAAAGTTCGTCAACCTGAGCGGCCAGCTGAAGACCTCATCCCGGCAAGCGTCTGTGCTGACATTCGAGCCACCACCAGAGCACATAGTCTGCTTGCAGGGATCAGTGCTCAGTTTCCACCGACACGGCATGCTGGGAAAGAGCCTATCGACACGGCAAGTCATCGCACAGGTACGCCGCCTACTCCCACGGTATAGTACTGTCGGGTGGAAATGCAGTCGATAGTCACCAACGGAGGGTTCATAAAGGCACACCCATCTGGAGAGAGCCCCGTACGCTGCATTTTGTGTGGCAAGACATTTTGGGAACATGGAAAACACGGGTTGCGGGTAACTGTTTCCCCTGAACTGGGGGTCAGCCTCCTGGCTTAACGTTTATATGTACATTGGCACGTACATATTCGTACAGTGGTATGCTGTGCTTGATGAAATCCTAGCATGTTCGTTCTTCCGCACCCGGTAGTACTATTTAGACAGTCCGATGAAAGCAATCCGAATAGGAGTTGCTCGAATAAAGCTGTGTGTGGATGTGTACATACTTCGTGAACTTGAGATGAAACTGTGCTTGTGTTTGCTTGTGTGTGTGTGTGTGTGTGTGTGTGTGTGTGCGTGTGTGCGTGCGCGTGTGTGTGTGCGCATGCGCACGTGCTTGTGTCTTCTGTGGGTGCCGATACTGCTCGTGTTTGCCTCTCTCGCACAGGTCACGGATCCTACGCGTGTCTTCAGACTGCTCGGGTCGGATCGTGTCATTATCATCGAGAGCAGAATGGTGGACGACGTCTCGGCAGCCTCCAATCTCTACATCCTGGCTGGCAACTAGTGACACAAGTGCACACGGCGTTGACCGGAAATTACAAGCGTCCCAGCTCTGGTGTTGGTGTCGCCACAGCCATCGCTGCCGCTGTTGTGCTTTGGCATGTGCGGTGACAGGTGTCTGCCTCCATCTCCTGCTCGGCCTTCTCTGCTGCATCGCGTCCGCGCGTCTCGTTTCCAAACACCCCCGTCTGTGTGTGTTTTTGTGCACGCGCATGCGAGGAAGCTCGGCTGATCTGACGCGGAGCTGTGCGATGTCGCGCTGTGCCATTGGCGTCTCATTTCCTACGGTCATCCTGAATGTTTCATAGTTCTCGTCCCCACCCCTAAGTCTGTCTCTCTCTCTCTCTCTCCTCTCTCTTTCACGAAGCCAAGAGGGCAAGCTGCTCCGTGAGCCTTTGCAGCGCGCAGCCGGGTTCTCCACTGGCATCAACAACGAGACAGCCACATCCTGTCCCGTGCTGGAGTCCCCGCTGAACTCACATGAATAGCACCATGGATGCTGTACTGTACTTGTGTTCCCGTGTCTATTTGTTTGTGTTCGTTTGTTTGTATTCGTCTGTGTTCGTTTGACGCCATGGTTGTGCCTCCCCTGTTGTCTTTCTGTTCCCTGCGCACACACCTGTTTTTTCTTCCTTTTTTTCCCTACGAAAAATGACACTTATTTTATCCCCTGCCCTTGCCGACTCGTTTTCCAGTCCCTCCCCGCATCGTGTGTATACGTGTGTCTGTTTGTGTGTGTGTGTGTGTGTGTGTGTGTGTGTGTGTGTGTGTGTGTGTGTGTGTGTGTGTGTGTGTGTGCGTGTGTGTGTGTGTCTGTCAGTGTACGCCTGTGCATGCGTGTAGATGGCATGTCGAGGTAGACACACTTCGCTGCTAGTTTATGCGTGTCAAGTTGTCTGGTTGAACCGAGACGTACAAATAAGCAGCATATCGGTCATTGCTAACAGCCCTGGCTTGAGCCTGTGCGTTTCTCATTCTTAGCTCTGTCACCCGTATACCTCTACTGTTGTGTAATATAACTTGTCCCAATAGTCGTCATTTCGTACCGTGTACATTATCGTGAGCTAACTGTGTATTAAACGATACAAACTCCAGCAACTTGTTCGCTTTGCTGCTGCAGAGCTGCTGTTGCTCAATTGTGCATAACGCCATGGCCCCGTACGTGTCCACTGTGTGATGATGCCTCTACTTCCATTGCCACTGTCCGCACCGATGCACGCACTGGCAGGCAACCTCCTGCGAGCCGTGCGCCTCGCTTGCTTTCTAACGATTTTTCATGATGACGAATAGCGCGCCGGCAGCCAGGGAAGGTGGCAGAAAGAGAGAGAGAGATATGATGTGTGTATGTATTGCGTGTGGTGGTGGTGGAGGCAGTGCTCTGAGTTGGGGCAAGCTTCTAGACTTGTTATGATATTTTTTCCCAAACAGCAAACAATAACTACCGTGTGTGCATTCTCTAGACGTGCTTTTGTGTTTTTTTTCTTTTAGCTCATTTTCGAGTACTTTTTTCCTTTCTTTTCAGTTGCCCTTCGACAACGTACGCACGTATGTTCACGTGTGAAGATGCTGCTAAGAATACGTGCACATGGTTTTTTTTCGTTTTTTTCAGTGCCTTTATCCCAAGATGTGAATATCAGTGACTTTCTGTTTTACATACTCCCGATGCAGCAGCATTCAGCTCTTGCTAGTTTTCATGCTGTTGCTTTTGCTACTGTTAGTTTCTCGAGCCACTCACTTGGTCTCTGTCTCTCCTCTCTCACACGCTTTTTTTGGTAACCGTTAGTAGACAGCTCTCATCTGCTGTTTGTTGAATTTCTGGCCGGGTGAACAAACTTCTGCGAACATCTCCTCGATTATCTCGTTTGAACGGACCTGCCCTGCCCTGACATTACATTGTCATGTTGTTTTACCTACGTCCCTACCGTGTACCTGAAAAAAATATTTGTAAATTTTCGCCCGTCCCATGCTAACAATAATTATGCATAGGTATGCTGTATCGTTTCGTGCAGTGATGACGTTTGTCATTTTATTCTCTTACGGAAGATAAGTTCTGCGTCCTGCGGTTGAATGGTGGGTGCTGTGATTGCTGTGGGTGTTGTGTCGTGGGTGGACCCGGGCAGGTTTTGGAAGAGGACATTCACTGCGCGACACAATGAGTTCGAGGTACATGTAGTGGCAGGGGGAAGCAGCAGTGTCACCGACTCACCGAATGACTACGGCACAACTCTGTGATGTAACTCTCTATGACGTAATTCTATCATGTAACTATGACGGAATTCTATGATGTAACTATGACATAGCTACATGTATATGATGTATAGTCAACTTCGCGAATAACGACTGCGGATATAACGACAATTCGCGAATAACGACAGAATTTCCATGCCCAGAGCAAAGTCACATCCAACTGTAATACATATAATGAGACTTCGGGTATAACGACACTTCGCGAATAAGGACATTTTCTGATGCCCCGCCCGAGTGTCGTTATACGCAAAGTTGACTGTAACTCTATTATGACACTATGACGCAACTCTACGATGTAATTCTATGATGTAACTATGTGACGCAGCTCCATGACGTAACTCTGTGACGTAGCTCCACGACGTAATTCTATTATGTAACTATGTCTGTCCCTCCAGGAAATCACGATTCCACGGATGCAACAAATTTCGCGATTTCGGCCCAAACCCGCGATTTTCAGGAAAATCCGCGATTTCCCGCGTTTTTTGTTGTTTTCTGCACTATATCTCACATGTTTCATGCACTTTTCACACAGTGCTTTCCATGATCCTGTAGGTTATTTGCACAGTACTACTCCGGAGTAGATATGCTATGCAACAAATTTCGTGATTTGGCCCAAATCCGCAATTTTCTGCAAATAATTCCGCGAATTCCTGGCAAGTTCTGCATCATTCCGCACTTTCCGTCGCATTTTTTGTTGTTTTCTGCCGCAATTTCTTGCGCAAGTTTTCGAGAGTTTTTTCCGCAAATTCCCGCAGGGACAGCTATGTGACGCAGCTCCATGACGTAACTCGATAACTTCACTATAATGTACCTCTATGACCTTAACTCTACGTCGAGAAACCGTTCGAGCTAGAACGCAGAGGCCCAGGATCCTCCGGGGATGCAGCCCCTGTTCACATGCTGCCTATCTGTACAGCACTGCTCACTGAAAGTCCGTTCGAGCAAGTCAATGCCACACCGGGCGCTGTGCAGACCTAGACCTGTGAACACTGGGGTGGTAGCTGGGTGAAAACGTGACTCGCCAGATCTGATTTCACTGAGCAGCTCTGTAGATGTACAGTAAAGCCTGGTCGTAAAGGCCACCGTGACTAGCTGGTACTACAGGCCACTTCACCAGGCACGGACGGTCTCACATTCATGTAGGGTTGTGCGATGCAAACCTCTAACTAAGGACCACCTGCCACTAAAGACCGCTTTCTCTGGCCGCGAGGAGTGGTCGCTAGTCACAGGTTTTTACTCTACGTGTACTGTTGCAGTGCCCGTCAGTATTCACACACACTGTACCAAGAGTAGATAAACGAGAGTGTGCAACTCGCGGATGGGTTGGCCCACGGCGGAATTTTTTGTTGACGTAATCTTTTCGACGACGCACGCGCCGCGAGCCTTTTGGAGAGTTTTCCCTCGTGCACTTGGCTGGGCTTTACACTACAAGGTCGGTGCCCAGCACGTGCTCTCACACTGCTCTGCGGCAAAATCCGCGTTTCTCTGAAAAAAGGTGACGTACAAGTAAACAAAAAATTCCGCCGTGGGCGCGGGCGGGGTATCTGCAGATTGTGCAGGAGAGATCCGGAGTTGCACACTCTTGTTTATCTACTCTTGATTGTACATAACATCAACAGGTGCAGCTCAAGCTGCCAAGTCCTTCCAACCTGCCTGGCATAAGCAATGCTACTTGAAGTAGAAAAACTATCGACAGCATTGCTGGCAGATGAAAGTGTGCCACAGTGTGTGTGTGGGGGGGGGGGGGGGGGGGGGGCTCAGGGCCACACACACCGTGACACACGAGTAGCATCTCCGTGGACTATTCTACGTCGTGTCAGCTGGTCTCTGAAACCAGGGTGAACAGTGCTCGGGTGTATGCATGTTGTGCCTAAGCCAAGAGGTCTCGGTGACCAGGTGGCAGCTGGAGCACTACGAGACGGTCGCTTGTTGAACTGTACAGTGCCGCTAAATGAAATCCAACCTGATGAATAAAATAGCGCCGGGCGCTAGGCAGCCCCAGCACTACACATACTGGTCGTGCACTCGAACACGGCGCTACGTTATCCATGGAGTTGGATTTCTTTGGCCAGCAGTGTACAATGCTGCTGGATAAAATCCAATCTAGCAAGTCAGCCAGTCAGCCAGAGGCTGTGCAGTAGCCCTGGATCTGTGCATGCTGGTATGGTGAGCTGGTGCAGGACGCAGACTGGACTCTCGCGAGATCGGATTTCATTGAACAGCAAGGTAGATAACCCTGCATCTTGATGACCCAGCACCTTGATGACCCAGCATCTTGATGACCCAGCATCTTGATGACCTTGCTGCTGCTACAGTAGCACAGTGAAACCTGTCTAAGACGACCGCTCAAGGGACCTTCAAAACCTGGTCTCTGTTACCAGGTGGTCTCCTTATCCAGGGTCATTTGACTGGAAATAGCATCCCTTGGTCCTGGTTGCAGTGGTCTTCTGGGACAGGTGGTCGCCTTATCCGAGTGGTCGCCTTGACAGGTTCTACTGTACAGTGATAGTGTTGGTCGCTCAGGACAAGAACAGTACGTTGAGATGGTTATGCATGCTGTAGTGGAAATGCCTACGTTGTACACCGTGTTCACACGTGTTGACAGGGGGATTCCCATCAGATCGCAGTTCCACCAACTGTCTGGACAGTTGATGCCTGGACTGTGTTCACATGTGGATGCCCTTCACATTGAATTTCTACCAACTGTCTGGACAGTTGATGCCTAGACTGTGTTCACATGTGGATGCCCCTTCACATTGGAGTTCTACCAACTGTCGGAACACTTGGCGCAATGACAATGACTAGACTGTGTTCACATGTGGAGACAGCGGACTCCCATCAAACTGTAGTTCTCCCAACTGTCTGCACAGTCTGCATGCCGTAACATGCCATGCACATAACCACCAAACACACACACACACACACACACACACACACACACACGGAAAACAACCCTGACAAGACGGTTCCTACCTTCGTGGCTCCAGCATTCGACAGCCATGGCCAGATTGCGCGACTGGATTTCACCGCGATACACGGGGACGCTGGGGTTTTGTCCGGCGAAGCACGAGATGAGATCGGTCCCTCCTGTCAGACACAAAAAGAACATAAAGCAAACACTTAACACATTTATACAGGTGCAATCATGATAATTCCAACCCCATAATGCCAGGGAGAACCTTCAGGGAAAAACGTCTAATTATCCGGACATTCTAATTATCCGAACATGCACCCACACCAAATTATGTACATGTATGTCAAAAAATCACTCAAAAATGCTCGTGTTAGGTACCTCCTCCCGTACCTTTTCTGGCTGGCCTGCATGCATGTAGTTGTAATTGTACACATCGTATTCGTACTCACCTTTCGTTCCGTTGGCCTGGGTAGCTACTTGCGCGCCCATCCTTGCCATAGCTACCCAGGCCTTTTATCTTGCCGTTCACACTTGATCTCTACCTCTTGTCTCTCTCTCTTCCACAATGTCGTCGTTTCGTTCGTCTTTGTCTCAGTCTCTTCGTCTCCCCAATAAAATTAATGTTGTTCGATCTAACCTGTTCCCGTTGTCCGTTGTAATGTCTGGAGAATATGTCGTCAGTCGTCTTTTTCGTACTCAACACTCACATTGACACGCAGAGTAGCACTACGCACCCTAGACACAGATGTAGTGTACACTGAACTGCCTGAGCATGCAAATCAAACTGATTTGCAGAGAAGAAAGTGAACTTCTAATTACGCTTAAACTTCGAATTATCAGCACAAATCTCACAATTTTCTATGTAAGTGGATTCCGTGGGACTTCTAATTAACCGAACACACCGACTTCGAGGTTCGAATTATAAAATTATAAGAAATTGTTATGCGGAAATCGTATTCTTAGAAATCGGTCCCGAAAACAAACTTCTAATTAAGCCATATTCGACTGTATTAGGATTCCACCCGTACATACTACATACACCGATGTGCTGTCACATGCACCCAGTGAAAGGATATGGTTACTACCCCATTTCTACAAATAATGCGGGATCGGTTGATCCCATCCAGGGATACGCCTGCCGCAGTGTCGCGTACACAGGCACGACCTGCATAGAAGGATGACTCGGATAGAAGCCAATTTTTTCGAAGGGCGCCGTTACACAGAAGCATGTTTTGAATAGAAGCCGCTCTGTGCAAAGACACGTGCAAGTACTTGCACAGTACATACGTGGCAGTATGCACTGCACACTTGACACTGATGATCTTGACATGGAAGCATGCTTTGAATAGAAGCATGGTTTGAACCCCGGCTTATACGGCCGTAAGCACCTGCTTCTACATGCGACATTACGGTATATGAGGCCACTCTACACTGGTGGATCTGTCCTTACCGGTGATCGAGCCCAGGAGAAGATCAGACTTGATGGCACGGTATACATAGCTATAGCTCATCGGCTTTAGTGGTGAGCCTGTTGACAGGATGGTGTGTAGAGTCTTCAGGCTGTGAGATTCAACTGGCAACAATGAGACATGAGAGAATGAGTAGAACCACACGCATAGAAGAGTGTGAGTCGAAAATGTCGGAACACAGGCTCCTCAATGTAGACATTGCAAATAAGAACAGGGGAGTGTGTGTGTGTGTGTGTGTGTGTGTGTGTGTGTGTGTGTGTGTGTGTGTGTGTGTGTGTGTGTGTGTGTGTGTGTGTGAGAGAGAGAGAGAGAGAGAGAGAGAGAGAGAGAGAGAGAGAGAGAGAGAGAGAGAGAGAGAGAGAGAGAGAGAGAGAGAGAGAGAGAGAGAGAGAGAGAGAGAGAGAGAGAGAGAGAGAGAGAGAGAGAGAGAGAGAGAGAGAGAGAGAGAGAGAGAGAGAGAGAGAGAGAGAGAGAGAGAGAGAGAGAGAGAGAGAGAGAGAGAGAGAGAGAGAGAGAGAGAGAAAGACACACACAATGCCAGCAGAACCCACTCACCAGGCTTGATGTCCCGGTCTTCCAGCGCAGAGAGCCACTTCGCACCGGTTCCCAGAATAGTAATTCCGATCTCATCCACCAAATCCCAGAGTGCGTAAGGTGTGGGCTTGAACGGCGACCCATCGTACAACACAATGGCCGCTCCGGTAGCCAATGATGTTACCAGCCAATTCCACATCATCCAGCCGGTCTGATTTACACAAACACACACACGCACATATACACACACACACACACACACACACACACACACACACACACACACACACACGCATCCGCACACACACGCACACGCACATATATACACACACACACACACACACACACACACATATGTCCACACACACACACACACACGCATCCGTACACACACACACACACACACACACACACACACACACACACACATGTACACACGCACGCACGCACGCACACACGCACGCACACACACACACACACACACACACACACATACGCACACACACAGCAATATGAGTGCCCCCTTAGCAATCACGTTGATACTAGCAAGACCGTAAAACAAAACAACACACTTATCAGTATTTTGGCGTTGACATCACCAAGCAAGCTTGGCAAGTCTTCGCATACCGGTATCAAAGCAAAACAAAACTGACTTTCAATCACTCCGAATGTTAGGCATTACATGTACATCTGGGGTCACCTGACAGCGAGGTATATCTTACTGTTGTACAGTACATGTTGATGTCATTCTTACTGTTGTGTAGTACATGATGATGTCATTCGTACCTTGTTGTACATGTATAGTACATGATGATGTCATTCTTACCTTTGTATAGTACATGATGGTGTCATTCTCACTGTTCTGTAGTACATGATGATGTCATTCTTACTGTTGTGTAGTACATGATTATGTCATTCTTACCTTGTTGTATAGCACATGATGATGTCATTATTACCTTTGTATAGTACATGATGGTGTCATTCTCACTGTTGTAATTGTGTAGTACATGATGGTGGTATTCTCACTGTTGTGTAGTACATGATGGTGTCATTCTTACTGCTGTTTAGTACATGATGATGTCATTCTTACCATTGTATAGTGCATGATGATGTCATTCTTACCGTTGTATAGTACATGATGATGTCATTCTGCGTCATGTTCCCATGGAGAAGATGCTCCTTCAGGTGCTGTATGAGAGTGCCCTGCAGGAGAGACGGTCATCAACACATTGATATGACATCACACGACCAATGCATATACATGTACTCGGAACCTTTCGACAAACTTGCGACTAACGACCGCGCCGGGAGTCGGATTTCATTTTTTTTCATTTTTTTTAAATTTCTTTTAGTTGCCACCGCTGCAGGTTTTTTTTAAACTGAATAGCAAACAGTTTCCTCGGAGACAAAAAAGGCAATGAAGTCTGAAGTGTGTCCTTCTTATCAGTACTATTATCGAATAGCAAACACTCAGTGCTAGTTTGTGCCGAGAGATTAGACTGGGAAATTTGTATGGGGCGGCAAACACACTCCATTATTCACTTCAGTGTCTGGAGATATGTGGATTTTGTAAACCAAATACAGGTAGACTCCCTCTAATTCGAATACGGTGTAATTCGAACATTCCGTGTAATTCGAACTTTTTCGTCGTACCGATCTTCTGCAAGTCACTTCAAGTCAAAATCGAATGCATAATTCGAAGTACGAAAAGTGCGCCGGTTGGATAATTCGAACCCAGTCTTCGTACAGAAGAGCTGTTTACAGTACATTCGCTATGTCATTTGAACGCTTATTTCGAAGTGAGATTGAGATGCTATCCTTGTAATTCGAAGTTCATTCTTTTCTCCTTCTCTAGCCAGAGTAGCTCAAAAATCGATCGATGATCCGCTGCAGGATCGACTAATAGCGTTCAAGAAACCCACCTTCTCTCGAAATTTGATTCAAGCCCGTGCGAGGCAAATTGCAAAGGTTTGATTGAAGACGACTTCTTCCAGGTGGACGACTCTCTTCGCGGATCTCGATGGCCTTTCTTGCCGCGCCAGCTGGTGCGCGGAGATGTTGGCGCACAACAACACTATTGTTGTAAATATTGTCTATGCTTATGCTCCACTTCCGTTCTTCAGAACGACGTGCTGCTGTCCGACGGCCTTTCATGACACGGATTAGGCAGCGCAGTTCTTTTCCGTTGAGATTGTTTCAGGAAAGCTGCAGTGACTGACAACTTCTTCACTAGAAGATGAAGATAATGTCAAATCGGATTGTGTGTCGATCCAGTGTTTTGATGATCCGTTGTACATGACCGGTACGCGTATACAACCACCTATGTTTCGTTGATGCAAATAAAAAAGTGCAAAAAATATTCAGCATGCGATTTCAAGCATTTTGACATACATATCACTGCATGGGGCTGCATTTGGATAATTAGAAGTTCCGGATAATTCGAAGTTAGGGCCTGGCAATTTGAGGTTCGAATTAAAGGGAGTCTACCTGTATTTAAAAAAATTTAATAAAAACCCTACAAACAGTGCTAGTTTGGTATGGGAAACAAATACATACTAGAGAACCACAGCTACAGATACGGCTTTGCCACTCCACACAAAGCAGCCCCAAATGATGATGTCATCACATACAAAGCATCTCAAGATGATGATGTAATCACAAACACACCATCTCAATATGATGTAATCATATTATTATACCATCTCAAGATGCAACGAGAAAAGTTACTATAGAGATGACTAACAGTGGACCAAGGTAACGGAATAATATACATTTTTATACATTTTCATCTAAAGATGATGTAATCATATACAAAACATCCCAATTGATGACGTAATCACAACACCTCAATGAAGGGATTTTACTGTGTGCTAACACGATTGAAGCAGAGCAAGAAGACGACGACTTACACCGACAGAGTGCACCATGCACTTTGGCTTTCCTGTTGTGCCGCTGCTGAACATGATGAAGAGAGGATGGTCGAATGGGACCTGGGTGAAGGCCACCTCGTCACCACTGCTGTCTGCTTGTGAAGCAACGGCTGACGACAAGAAGGAAGTGAAGCTTACCCTAACACAAAAATAACACGTGAAGTAACGCACAACAGCAGATTGGCTCTCAAGATGGACTCTACTTTCCAGTACTAGTACACCGGAAGACATACCGTTGTGTTACACACGCACACGCACACACACACACACACACACACACACACACACACACACACACACACACACACACACACACACACACACACACACACACACACACACACACACACACACACACACACACACACACACACACACACACACACACACACACACACACACACACACACACACACACACACACACACACACACACACACACACACACACACACACACACACACACACACACACACACACACACACACACACACACACACACACACACACACACACACACACACACACACACACACACACACACACACACACACACACACACACACACACACACACACACACACACACACACACACACACACACACACACACACACACACACACACACACACACACACACACACACACACACACACACACACACACACACACACACACACACACACACACACACACACACACACACACACACACACACACACACACACACACACACACACACACACACACACACACACACACACACACACACACACACACACACACACACACACACACACACACACACACACACACACACACACACACACACACACACACACACACACACACACACACACACACACACACACACACACACACACACACACACACACACACACACACACACACACACACACACACACACACACACACACACACACACACACACACACACACACACACACACACACACACACACACACACACACACACACACACACACACACACACACACACACACACACACACACACACACACACACACACACACACACACACACACACACACACACACACACACACACACACACACACACACACACACACACACACACACACACACACACACACACACACACACACACACACACACACACACACACACACACACACACACACACACACACACACACACACACACACACACACACACACACACACACACACACATGCACATACACACATGCACATACACACAAACACACACACACACAACACACACACACACACACACACACACAGCTTACGCATTCGAGATATTGGAGATATCCATGGGCGCAGACATCTCTGTATAGTCCAACACCACAACTTTCTCCAGTGATGGTAAACCTAGGCGGGTCATATGAACACACAAACAATGCACACATACAAGTGAACACACATACACATACACGTGAACACACACACACACGCACACCCACACCCCCCCCCCCCCCCTCCGCATCCAGGCACACGCGTGCACGCACGCACACACACACACACAAACACACGCAGGCAGGCACGAACAGACATAAGCATATGAACACACACACACGCCAAACCTGCCAAGTATCCAGATTTTTTTGGGATTATCCCGCAATTTTAGATGAACTCTCGCGATCCCGAAATTCCTGTCGATTATCCCGAAATTCACTGTACAAGAAACAAGCTTGATATTGTACCTGGAGCACTTCAAATAACCTGTCACAGGCGAGTAGTTGTCCTTATTGATTGCGAACCACCATAGCCTCCAGTACCAGTGGATCTACTACAGTACTAATGCTCCTTCCATGAACAGTCCCTGTAAAACCTCCGTTTTGAGTCTTGAACATGCGTACGTGTGATCCGATGATCACCATCAGTCATCTATTTTCGATATGTTGGTGCCATTAACCCTTTGAGGCCCACAGTATGGATATATCCGTACCAGTGTACAGTGCATACTTTTCAAAGCGCAACCTGGCGTAACTCGGCTGTCCCTTGACCAAATCGGACCATCGAAAGGTCTATCACCATTAGAATTGTCTCAGCTATCAGCTCAAAAAACCCCGAAGGCGATCCGAGGTTGGAGAGCGGAGTTATGAGACTCGAACTAAATTCGCTCAGCAGAGTCACCTCGGGCGCGTGCATTTAGAACTCGTTTTGGGGTGTTTTCCCTGACTCGCGGCCCACACAGCCACAGATAGTTTACGTCATCGCAAAGGCATGTTTCTCAGCTCTCATGTAAAAAAATTTAAGCGATCTGCGATACATTTTGTTGAAATGGCAGAGAATTTGAGTTGGGCGCTCGCAATGCTGGATTTGGAGCGCCGAATCGCGCTGCGGCGCTGGTTCTGTGGATTCCTTGATGGATTTCTGGGTATCGCTGTGTTCCTCTGGCCAAGAGCTTTCAAGAAAGCCCAAGTTCACCAAAAATCGGCCAAAGGACACCAAAGTAACGACCAGATAAGTACCTGGGCTCGCGTATGCAGTGCTTTCCTTGAAATAATTGTGGGCCCTAAGGGCGCGTTCAGACTACCGTGAACCCCGTCAAACCGTGAATGCCGATAAACCGTGAAGGACATTCACACTACCGATAACAAACTAACGTTACCGTGAAGTTTTCAGCTCTCACAGCGGCACTGACAAGGGATTTTCCCTTTTTTCCCAGCGCGCATGCAGCCTGAGCACTTTTTTACTGCCGGTAAAAGTTTACTGCCCCAGCAGCCGCGGCAGTAAAACTTTTCCACCGGTAACGTGCCAGTAACGTCACGTGATCAAATCACCTTGGCGACTTTCCCAATCGGTCACTTTTTATCGGTAGTTTTAAAGGGTTAAAAAAGGATTCTTTTGGAAAAATAGGACATTCCGAAAACCAAGGCAAATCCCGGGATTTTGCCATGGCGATCCAGAAAAAGCACTCTCATTACTTGGCAGGTATGACACACACACACACACACACACACACGCGCGCGCGCGCGCACACACACACACACACAAACACACATATGCATGAGCACGCACACACACACACACACAAACACACATATGCATGAGCACGCACACACACACACACACACACACACTCGCACATACAAGGGCAACTGACCCTCAACAACACTGGTCAGCTTCTCTAAGTGATCGTGGCTCTTTGCATTGTAGATCACTGCGTTGACGGAGAACAAAATCTTTGGTGAAATCTGACAGAACCTCTCCAACACACCCTGAGCAGTCAAACACACCGACAGACAAGCAAACAGAAAATCAAACAGACAGACATACATACACACATGTGTGTGCACGAACGCATGCAAGCACACATGAAAACACACACACACGCACGCACGCACACACAACACACACACACACACACACACACGCGCGCGCGCACGCACGCACGCACATGACAAGATGTCATTCGAAAGTGAGTCGTAACAGATGTACAATCAACTTCGCGAATAGTGGACCTCGATCGAGCACAAGAAAATGTCGTTATTTGTGAGAAGAAAACAGCCCAATGGTAACCAGGGCTGAAGATTATGAGAGTATTCGCGAGTTGTTGTTATAGGGGATTCACACACACGGGTAAAACCAAGGTTATGGGAAAGTTGTTATGGAAACTATGGTGCTGGGGGAAAGGAAGAACCTCTCGGGAAAAAATTGGCAAAGTCGTGGCCGTGGGCCTCAGGGCGTTTGTCAAGGGAAAAATCCCATGGCTATAAGACGCGCATGCGTAGATCTTGTCTTTGGCGAGAACTTTGAACCCTAGTTGTACGAGTGCATCGCAACTTGCATTTTCAGACAGTGCCCATCGGAAAATCGTGCATGGCGAATGCTAGATACAGTACAGAATGTACTACAAAAATGCAGTACAGATTATTTTTTAGTTGCCCCGCCACAAGTTCATGGCCAAACGTGCGGCCAAGGCAAAACTGACCACGGGTGTGAACGGCCCCACTCCGTTGACCGAAGGTCTGAACTTTTACCTTGTCCCGTGACCTCGGGTTTACCCGTGTGTGTGAATCCCCTATTACACCCGGGGTCGTTATTCATGGGATTGACTGTGATAGAATGAGGAACAGCACACTCTGGAGAGTTCGACTTTGCATGCATTGTATGATGGTGATATTGCGTACACAGGTAGCGGCACCTACCGAAACACCAAAATCAGGCGACGCCGAACTCCACACGCCGCCCAGCATTGTCGTGGCCAGCATAGCTTCGAGAGCCATCGGACAGTTTGGCAGGTAACCTGCATACAGTGTCCAACGCAGCGTACAGGACAGAGAAAGTAGAGGTGTCAACGAGTAGTAGGGTACCCGTGCTAGCCGCAATTTAATCGGGTAGTAGGGTAGCAATTTGCTCCTGAGAACCCGATCGGGTAGTTGGAGTACGGTGTTTTTGCAACGGTGCATGTACCCAGCACGGCTACATGCTTACTGTACACTTTCTATGTAGCACAGATGCACACACTCACACCACAAACTGTGTCAAAAAAATACCCGATAGGGTACCCGTGCTACCCGCATAAAAATAGTACCCAAACCCGTTACCGGACCGACCTCCTACCCGTTGCAGCCCTAAGAGAAAGGACCAGGAGAGAGGGGAGAGAGGGCAAAAAGCCAAAACGAGAGAGAAAGTCAGAAACCCAGGCACACAAAGCGAGAAAAAAGTGAACACAGTCATTCACAGACAGAGAGCAACATGTAGTTATTTCAAACGTTTTCGAAATCGAAAGTCGACCGACACTGTACATATGGCCCAGAATCTGCGAAAACCAGGCTTAGGGTGAAATTTCACAAAATGACTTTCCCATTTTCAGCTTCTACTGGGCATGGGAGGTCAGGAAACAAAATATTACTGCTGTGGGTCGACTCATAGTGGTATTAAAAGTATCTCAAACACACCAGGGTATTGTGTTAAAAAATCCAAAAAAAAACAAAACAAAATTGTTATCACAGGAAAGAAATGAAGAGAGATCCACCAGACTGAAGGAAGAGACATGGATGATTTTTGTTAAGGTGACATGACAAGGTAGGCATGTGGGGGCAGGCTTGTTGTGGCCCCTTGGTGCTGCAGGCTGTAGTGGCCATGCACAGTTCTGCATGAATTAATATTATTCCCGTAGCTATGCAGAAGACGTTACTTCAGTAACGTCTGGCGCTAGCCAGGGTCCACACAGCTTTAATTTGGTATTTGTGTGTTTGTTTGTTTGTTTGTGTGTTTGTGTCACGCCTGGCGCTATCCCGTATCTGTCCCGTACCGTACCGTACCAGCAAACACAGCTGGCCGCAATATTCAAATAGGGCTTTCAAACGCAAGATCATAACGTGAAGCAACTTGGAAGAATGGGTATGAATGCGAAGTGTATGGGGGAATGCATGTAGGGTGTTGGGAAGGCCGTCGCGGCCATGTGTTTTTTATGATGTATTTACTATTTATTCAATATTTCCTTCAGGATGTGAAATATGAAATGTCTCAGAAATTCAGTTTATTTTGGAACGCAATTTCGCGTACATGTAGTGATTTAGCCTACAGTTAGTTCACGAGTCATTTCGTGGGTTGTTTGTTTCTTGCGTTGCACAGTGCAAGACAAGAATTTGCACATCTGCACAAGAGTATTGACGTTGGCTCTCAAAATGATTCTTGGTCGCATTTTGTTTGTTTCTTCTAAGTTTTGGCAAAGGGACATGTATTTTCGTTTTGTCTTTTCTCGCAGTGTTTCCTTTCGTTTCTAAGCCGCGACGCCGTCGCGTACTGCGGTACGACGGGTCACGTGCTGCCAACCTACGGCATTCTTTATTCACCAGTTTTCACGGCTACGCTGCATGCATTGTATAATGACTCATGATTATTTTGTGCTCTGCGCTGAATCCCGTACTAGTGTAGTGTAGGGCTTTTTCAGAGTTTGTTTGTTTTTCGATGAGGCTCGGCAAGCAATGAGTTCGGTTCTTCGAAAGGAAGAGAAAGAGTTGTCTTTTTGTTGTTTGCGAAATATCTATTTTACTACCACGAAGTGTTCCCGTTGCGTGTGAGAACCTGCATGACAAATTGGTAGCAGAGGATGGTTGTCAAGTAGTGGTTCCTTCACCAAGCGCAGTGTGGTAGTGAGTAGCATTTCGGCTTTTCGCTGGACAACATGGATCTTGAGGAGTGCAAGAAGGCGAAGGCCAAGGCCAAGTTCCATGTCACACGAAATCGAAACTTGTTGCTCAGCAGGATCTACGAAGAGGATGCGACCTCGAAAGAGATCAAGAGGTTGTTGGATGACGTGACTGAGAGTGTTCACAACGCTGTGGATGTGTGTCTAAAACTGGTAACTCGGTACGCAGAATTAGGACTACCCACAGAAAAAGTGCACGAGGAGATAGAGGTCATCAACGTCGACTACAGCGATGCTGTCAGCAAGACCAGCGACGTGCTGGCAGAAATCAGCAAGAGGCCAAGTCGAGCCAGAACGGGTGAAAGTTCGCCAGCTTCCATCACCAGAGCCAAGAACATAAGATTAGTAAAGGCAACGTTGACGCAGAGCTTGGAGAATCCCAGAGCAAGTGGGAGGATGTTGACACCGCCACACTCTCCTAGCAAGGCCCTTGAGGAAAAACAGAACATGTGTGCTGAGAAGAGTCTCAGTCGTTTTGGGAATGTGTCTGCATCCAGTGTCAGCCAGAGTGCGACTGTTGAGGGGACTACCCAGCCGCCTGCCGTTTCCTCGGGAGCACCTCTGGGAGCAAATGCATTGGCACTCCCCCTGGGAACTCCAAGTGGTGACCATCGTGATAGACAGGACGAACCGCCTGGGGCTGACATGACAAGCGTCAGTGACAGCCAGCCAATTGTGTCGTCGTCAAGTGCAACCATGGCAACCAATGTGAGTACAGACAAGTCACGCACAATCAAGGTGTCCTTTCCGGTCTCTTTGTCGTCTGTACCTACGTTACCGTTTACGGCGGAGCTCTTGTCAAAAGTTCACTCGGTTGCCATGGCAACCGCCGAAACCATGGCAACACCGCGGAACATTGGTCATCAGTCTGCAGGGAGTAACCAGGCAAGTGGCATTGCTCAGTCTGGCGCGCAGCAGGCACCGGTATCTACGTCGGCAGCTTCGGCAAGAAATGTAATCACTGCCCCTAACCGTAGTTCAAGTGGGGTCAGTGTACCACCCAGAGCATTGTCGGCCACGACCATACTCGTGCAGTCAGCCCAGACACAACCAACTCCAGCTATGCAGCCTCGTGCAGTTGCAAGTCATACTCTCTCGGCTTCTACACCTGCATTTGTGCCGGGATCAGGACATTTGTACGTTCCACCGCCGACCCATTCTGGACATCCATTCTCATTTGGAACACCACCGGGTTTCTTGTCGGCACCCGACTTCCCGACGCACGTCTTGCCGAATCAGTCTGGAATAATGTCTACACCACCAGCGACCCAACCGGTCATGCAACAAATACCAGTTGGTCAGCCAGGTCACGCGTCACACCGTGAAGATTATGGTCTTGTGCAGCCGAGCAGTCTTCCAGTTGCCATGACATCGCCGAGTGGTCTACCAGTGCAAGCGAGTAGTTCTGGTAGAATCGAATTGTACCGACATTTAGAGAAAGTGTCAATTCCAACGTTCAAGGGCGACAAGCGGCAATATGAGACGTGGAAGGCGGCGTTTGAGATGTGCATTGGCTGCGCTAACATTCCGGATGGGCTGAAGTTATTGCAGCTCCGGAAATACCTCGCGGGCGATGCACTACGGTCTATCGACACTCTTGGCTACTCGGCCGAGGCGTATGAGGCAGCACGACGTAGGCTGGAACACAAGTTCGGTGGTCAGCGACGTCTAGTTGCAGTGCATCTAGAAGCCCTTGAGAAGTTCCCAGCGATGAGATCTGCAAACGCCCAGGAGTTGGAGCGTTTTGCGGAGCAACTCGATGTCGCTGTGGTGAATTTGAAGGCGAGTGGTCAGACACAGGAGTTGGCTAACGGGACATTTTATGTCCGGCTAACACAGAAGCTGGGGGTGTCTCTTCTGCTGAGCTACCAGAAGTGGATACACCAGACAAGCACCTCTGAATCTGTCGAAGCGCTTCTGCAATGGGTGGAGCTGGAAAGCGAGTTCCAAGTACGAGCCCAGGAGACGATCCAAGGTATCTCCACGGCAACTCCAGTAGGGTCCACTCAAACAGCAAAGAGTCACCCGCTGAAGGGCCAGGCCAGTCATGGTGGAGTGAAGCATCAGGCATTCTTCGCTGACAAGCCCAAGAAGGCCCAGAGCAGCAGCAGTTGCCCGATCTGCACGAAGATCCATCCCGTTTGGAAATGCCTAGAGTATCGGAAGCTGTCAATTGCAGAGCGTTGGCAGAAGGCCCGGACGCTCAAGCTTTGCTACCGTTGCCTTAACTCTGGTCATTTGGGAAATAACTGTCCCAGGTCGCAGCCCTGTGGTGCCGACGGTTGTACAGAGACCCACAACGCGTTGCTGCACGGAAAGTCTAGTGCTACTACAGACTCGAATGGAGCCTCACAGAAGCCAGTGCTCCAGTCTAGCGCCTCCACGGAGCGGGGTGACACCAGTTCCATGGCCACACATATGAGTAGTGTCGGCGTTAGAGCTGTCGCACTGCGAACCGTTCCCGTCATACTTCGCCACGGCGACAAGAATGTCAAGGTCAACGCGCTGCTGGACGACGGCAGCACGCAATCTTACCTTAATTGCGACGTTGCGGCACAGCTAGAGCTTAGCGCTCCCACACAAGAAGTGTCAGTGAGCACACTGAACGGCCGCATCGAGACCCTAGAGACCATGCCAGTCGACTGCCACATCGAGAGTCTGGATGGCAGATTTATCACACAGTTCTCTGCTCTGACTGCCAAGAATGTCACCGGTAACCTTACACCTCATGATTGGTCGGTAGATCAGACACGGTATCCGCACCTCAACGGCATCGAGTTTCCGCAATGCCAGAAGAAGCGAGTAGAGGCGCTGATCGGCCTTGACCACGCTAGTCTCCACAGGTGTATGGAGGAAGTCTATGGTGAGGCTCATGAGCCATTCGCACGCAGAACGCCACTCGGGTGGACATGCGTTGGCAGGAGCACCAGACCGCAACAGACGACAAATTTCACCCGCACGTACTTCGGAAAGGACGTCGACCTGAATGCACTGGTGAGAAGGATGTGGGAGGTGGAGGAACTTCCCCAGTCGTACGAATTCTGTGCAGATGATCAAGCCGTTTTTGATCAGACGGTCCAGTCGATGACCTACAAGAACGGAAGATACCAGGTTTCGGAGCCGTGGATCAAGAGACCACCTCCGGACAACTACAGTCGAGAAACTGCAATGAAGCGGCTCATCGCAGCAGAGAGACGCCTGGCGAAGGAGCCAGACGTCGCTGAGGAATACCGAACCGTGATTCGCCGTCACTTAGAACAAGGGTATATCAGCAAGATCAGCAACGCAAGTGATGGCGACGGCTGGTATCTGCCGCACTTTGCTGTTGTACAACCTGGGGCTACATCCACAAAGGTGCGTGTGGTCTTTGATGCAGCAGCAAAGACGAAAGGCAAGTGTCTGAATGACTACATCAGCACTGGGCCCAAACTACAACGGGACCTCACCGACGTTCTCCTGCGGTTTCGGCGACACCCAAACGCACTGGTAGCCGACGTGGCAGAGATGTATCTACAAATCGAGTTGGAAGAGGATGACCGACAGTTCCATCGATTTCTTTGGAGAGAAGATACGGAGGACCAACCGGCCGTTTACCAGTACAATAGAGTGGTGTTCGGGATCAATGCATCTCCATTCTTAGCTCAACTGGTCTCGCAAGAGCATGCGCGGCGGAACCAGGAGGAGTTTCCTATGGCAGCAGAAACCGTGTTGAAGTCCACGTACATGGACGATTCAATGGACTCGACAAAGTCAACAGAGCTAGCGATTCAGCTGTACCACGAGCTTACGGCGCTGTGGGGTCTCGCTGGAATGCATGTGCGAAAATGGATTTCCAACAATGTTGAGGTGCTCGCCGAAGTCCCCGAGGAGGACCGAGCCAAGGAAGTGGACCTCGCTAATGGAATCCTGCCGACGACCAAGACTCTCGGAGTTAAGTGGCGAGCAGAGGAAGACGAGTTCCTGATTCATGTCAAGCCGCCATCAGACATTGTCACCAAGAGAGCGTTCTTGAAGAACCTAGCCACATTGTTTGATCCGATCGGATTCGTACTGCCATTCACCATAGTTGGTCGGATGTTGTTCCAGAAGATGTGGCTAGCAGGTGCTGACTGGGACGACTCTCTGCCTCCAGAGCTAGGCGCAGAGGCGCAAAAGTGGTGTGCCGACATGGATGCACTCCAGGATGTCCGAGTTCACCGGTGTCTTCAACGCGATGAGGAGGTGGTGGAGACTCAGCTACATGTATTCTGCGATGCCTCGCAAGATGCATATGGAGCAGTCGCTTATCTCTGTCATGTGTACCAGGATGGTACGAGGTCCAGTCGATTCGTCATGGCTCGAGCCAAAGTGGCGCCGTTATCAGCTGTTAGCATCCCCCGACTCGAGCTAATGAGAGCAGTCATCGGATGTCGTCTTGGTGTGTCCGTAGCCAAGACTCTCGCCATCGCAATGGAGAATGTCGTGTTCTGGAGTGACAGCATGGATGTCCAAGTGGTGGAAAGAGTACCCGGATCTCAGTGTTGGTGACATCGTCCTCGTTGTGTCAGCTGATACCCCCCGTGGCAGGTGGCCTCTTGGACGGGTGTTAGAGGTCTACCCTGGTTCTGACGGCAGAGTGCGTGTCGCTAAGCTCCAGGTCGGAGGCAAGCAGGTAACCAGGTCAGTTGTACGGCTATGTCCGGTTGTGAAAGGCTGACAGTCCGTACGCACGTTTTAGATGGACTTATCGCCATCTTTAGTCAGTTCGATCTCTTTTCTCATTTTACTCATTCTTTGATACGGATGTATCAAGGAGGGGGGTATGTTGGGAAGGCCGTCGCGGCCATGTGTTTTTTATGATGTATTTACTATTTATTCAATATTTCCTTCAGGATGTGAAATATGAAATGTCTCAGAAATTCAGTTTATTTTGGAACGCAATTTCGCGTACATGTAGTGATTTAGCCTACAGTTAGTTCACGAGTCATTTCGTGGGTTGTTTGTTTCTTGCGTTGCACAGTGCAAGACAAGAATTTGCACATCTGCACAAGAGTATTGACGTTGGCTCTCAAAATGATTCTTGGTCGCATTTTGTTTGTTTCTTCTAAGTTTTGGCAAAGGGACATGTATTTTCGTTTTGTCTTTTCTCGCAGTGTTTCCTTTCGTTTCTAAGCCGCGACGCCGTCGCGTACTGCGGTACGACGGGTCACGTGCTGCCAGCCTACGGCATTCTTTATTCACCAGTTTTCACGGCTACGCTGCATGCATTGTATAATGACTCATGATTATTTTGTGCTCTGCGCTGAATCCCGTACTAGTGTAGTGTAGGGCTTTTTCAGAGTTTGTTTGTTTTTCGATGAGGCTCGGCAAGCAATGAGTTCGGTTCTTCGAAAGGAAGAGAAAGAGTTGTCTTTTTGTTGTTTGCGAAATATCTATTTTACTACCACGAAGTGTTCCCGTTGCGTGTGAGAACCTGCATGACATAGGGCGATAGTGCGGGTTCGAATCCCAGGATATGCCTTAAAAAAAAAGGAGAATTGAAAAATTTATAATATTCCTATGCTTTTTTTGCCGTCATCAAGGCGGTAGACGGTGTCGTATTACCCTCGATCGTACCTGTCCCGTACCGTACCATCAAAGACGGCTGGCCACAATGCATATTCAAATAGGGCTTTCAAATGCAAGATCATAACGTGAAGCAACATGGAAGAATTAGTATGTATGCAAAGTGTATCGGGGGATGCATGCAGGGCGCGCGATAGTGCGGGTTCGAATCCCAGGTTATGTCTTTAAAAAAAGGAATTTTTTGAAGAATTTATAACATCCCTTGGAAGCTCAGGGCCCTACGCTATACCTTTTTTTGTCTAGGTAATCAAGGCAAAAAAGCATAGCGTAGGGCCCTGAGCTTCCAAGCTCTCTCGTTTTGTTTGCTCCTCACTCAGTACATTCTGGGGCTGAATACATGTACTGTCATGCTCTGGCGCCACACACCACAAGGAAACCCGACTCCAGTTGAGATGGCACCTTTTGAAGGGTGAATCTAGTACAACTGTTCAGAAACAAGCAAGAACACAGCCTTTCAAACTGTTCCACTGTTCATAGTAAGCGCATAGTGTGCTAGCGTGCTGCAGTATCTGCTCGGTGCTGACCAGCAATTGAACTATCAGCACGCCGTACAATCCCTTGCAGCTAGCTGTCCAGTGAGGAAAGTCTCGAGTGGGGGCCTCTCGATCTGCTCGCTCATTCGCCTGGCATTCAGTAGCACTTCATCGCCAAGGACTTCAATTCAAAACAGTTTTCACACTGCGCTTCAAGCCTTTTTCCTCGTGAACTTGCTGCAAACGTATGAGCTCTGCTGCGCGTGTTCCCTTTGCGTGAGGCCCAGAAACAGCTAGTATCTCCGTACTTCGATTGGCTGGATCGATGTCGTCCAGGTTCTCCTCGCTATCGCCATCACGACTCTAACTGGAGACGATTTCTTCACTGTGTTCCGCAAGCAGCAGCTAGCGCAGAAATTTCGCCATCCCTGAGTGTAGGAGATGGAATCCGTTCGATCAGCTCAAAAACTCTTCGTTGTGACTAAAGGAGTAGCAGGGAATATTCTACCGGAAGCCCTTTGACTTCCCTGACTGCTGAAACCCTTCCTGCCATGACTGCTACTTCTTCAAACAAGAGAGATTCTCTTTGGTTCCACTTCACTGCACTCGATCGTCCACGCGACACAACCTTTTTACAAAACATCATTTTCTCAAAAAAATGATTTTCACCCTAAGCCTGGTTTCCGCAGATTCTGGGCCATATGACATGCACACGCATGCGATTTTCGCCGTCCAGTATAGCAAGCTGTGTCCGTTTCAGAGACGACAGAAAACTTTTGTGACGACCCTTTATTGAAGTTTCTGTCTCCTCGTCTCCTCTTTATAAACAAAGGAAGCTACATTATTACCTACTTCATCCAGATATCATATCCACGCACATGCAAAGGCACGTACGCACCTCACCTCCCCCCCCCCCCCCCCCCTCCCACACACACACACATGCACGAGACTGAGAGGATCACAGGGCTGACCCCAGAAAGACAGACTTACCGGCAACACGGTCGCCCTCGTTCACACCGGCTGCCTTCAACGCGACAGCCAACTGCTGCACTCGCGAGTAGAGCTGAGAGAAGGAAATGTGCTCCGTCTTCCTACCCTCGCCTGATAACACACACATAGCCAGACACACACCCAGACAAACAAACAAACACACAAACACACACACAGTGACACACACACACACACACACACACACACACACACACATGCAAACACAGAAACAAACACAGAAACAAACACACACACACACACACACACACAAACAAACATACGGTCACACACGCGCGCACACACGCGCACACAAACCACCACAGAGAGTCAGATTTACACAGGAATCGTACCAGACAGCATCAACCCAACGGATATCTCACCAGCAAAGATCACGGCGGTGCGGTCACTGTTCCGATGCCGCAGCAAGTTCTCTGCGTAGTTCAACCGACAGCCGTCGAACCACTTGGGCTTCTGACTGACATTCAGCGATGTATCAACAACCTGGATTGAACATATACAAATATGAACATTTACAAAATAAGATTTAGTAGAAAAAAATCTCTCTCTTCCCCTCTCTCTCTCTCTCTCTCTCTCTCTCTCTCTCTCTCTCTCTCTCTCTCTCTCTCTCTCTCTCTCTCTCTCTCTCTCACACACACACACACACACACACCTCAGACCTCAGACCTGCCCATCGCGGAAGCGATGATAGCGAACAGCTATGTTAGACATAGCAACTTGTGCTGGGATTACACCATTCAACAGCTTGCAAGGCTGATGAATTAACCGCCACTATTTTTAGCCTGGTATCCACCACACAGCTGATTGAAGTGACTTTTTCTGGCCAGTGAATCCCTATTTTTCATTTTTCCATTTTTTCTTTTTTTTTTCTTTCTTTTCTTTTTTTCTACACACACACACCACACCACATACTCCGGCATACACTGGCTGTTGGTAACCACCCAGGAGAATGAAAGAAAAGTCAGGAAGAGTCCGAGAAAGAGAAGAAAGACGTCGTATGCGACCATAATCGTCGGGAATTGAACCCGCAACCTCTCGATTGGAAATCGACTGCACATACCAATGCACCATATGGACACACACACGCACGCGCGCGCACGCACGCACGCACGCACACACACACACACACACACACACACACACACACACACACACACACACACACACACACACACACACACACACACACACACACACACACACACACACACACACACACACACACACACACACACACACACACACACACACACACACACACACACACACACACACACACACACACACACACACACACACACACACACACACACACACACACACACACACACACACACACACACACACACACACACACACACACACACACACACACACACACACACACACACACACACACACACACACACACACACACACACACACACACACACACACACACACACACACACACACACACACACACACACACACACACACACACACACACACACACACACACACACACACACACACACACACACACACACACACACACACACACACACACACACACACACACACACACACACACACACACACACACACACACACACACACACACACACACACACACACACACACACACACACACACACACACACACACACACACACACACACACACACACACACACACACACACACACACACATACACACACACACACACACACACACACACACACACACACACACACACACACACACACACACACATACACACACACACACACACACACACACACACACACACACACACACACACACACACACACACACACACACACACACACACACACACAACACACTCACCGTAGTGTACGGTGCAGAGTGGACGATCTTGCTATAGCGGAAAAACTCATCCCAGAACTGGTCATAGTGTTCACAAGACCAGTGATACAAGTCATTGTAATTACCTAGAAAAAAAACACACACACCATGTACCATGTATACGCCCGTCGCAAGAGAAGCACGCAAATCTGCAAATGCACTGGATGTGCACCCACAGATTTTCTCTTTTAGCAACAATAGCGAACAAGGTTTTAATGAGACAAATCAAGACTTGCGCCAAATAACTGTCTAATCCACACAACTGGCGAAGCCATGTGAATCGACCACCAATGCACACCTGGTCTACACCACACGGAGTACATCGGCATAAAACAGCCAAGACCTATGCACACCCTACACTTGCTGGGGTAACCAGTATGGACAGCACGCTGCTTTGATAGAAGCAGACACTAGATGCACTGGTACCTTGAAGTGAAATTGGAGTTACTTTACCAACCAGCCTCGGCTACTGAGTACTGAGAACCCAGAGCCAACAGACATACCAACAACCTCAGCCATGAAAGCTATTATAGTAACGACACACTGGATTGTGGAGCCGAAACTAGTCCAACTTCCAAATACTTTGGCAAGAAGGTAGCCTACACACACATACACACACATACACACACACACACACACACACACACACACACACACACACACACAGATACGGTGGACGGATGATAAATGCACTCATGATTGTAGATAGAACTCAGATGGTGAGCCAAGGGAATAAAATTTAACATGGGACCCCTCATACATGTCATGTACATCCTTCAAAGCGATGAACCCCTTGATAGGCGACAAGCCTCTGGGTCATCCTGATAAAGATATTATTATTATCGGAATGAAGGCAGCGCGCCGCGCACTGACCCATAACCACAGTTGCATACTCTTGTATAATTATGCACTCTTGGTAAAACTAATGATTGATTTTTCAAATCTCATTCATTGGCTTCGAGTTTAAATTTTTGAAATTCTCAGTCATCCCTTGCGTGAACAGTGAGCGAGTGAGTTCATGATGGTGATGCGATTGTTTGAAAGCCTGGGTGCAGGAACAATGGACACAAATTAACGTGGCCACACAATGAGTTGGTTATGTAATACCAGCTCTCACCGAGATCAAGGTTAAACTTGCGAGACGCCTCGATTCTGAACTCATCCATTTGAGTTCGAACGCCATCAGGCGGCGACCAGAGCTTTTCTGGTGATTCTACTGACGCCATTGCAGTCACTAATCACGATACCAATATAAATACGCCACAGCCCTTCAACAAGTGGGCATTCTCTGTGGTTGTAGTAACTCCTAACACGATTAGCTGAACTACAGAACAATTTACTGAATGAAGAATAAATTAATTTTTAGTAGAGTTCAAAGTCCAGCGTATGATGAGTGTACCACTGCCTGGTGTACAGTACAGTACAGTATTCGTACAGATACTCAGAACACTGACTTGGCCTTGGACTTGTGGCAACCAACGGTGGTCACCAGAGAAAAGAGGATACCGGGTGTGCGTGTCGGCCGTCGGAGTCCAAGCCTGGTGAATCTACCAAACCGTGTCACGGAATATGGTGACTGACAGCAAGCAAGCAATAACAGGCCATTTCGAGAAGGACTGGCCTGATCAGAAATCTTCCTCATTGAAAATCGTTCGACTCGAAGCCGGCCAGATCATACTGCACATGCATACGCACGTGCGTGCCTGCGTGGTATGATGATGCATGAGCTAGCGGCATGCGTGTATGCATGATCGAGCTACAAAAAAGCTGGTCAACATTAAAAAAATTAATGTTGACCAGCTTTTTTTAAATAATAGTGTGTCTCCCTGGTAACGTGTTTGGATCATATTTTTGCAAGGTAAATTCTAAAACGATGCGAAGGACTAAAGGGACCGTCACTTAATTTTTGCCGACTACCCGCCAAAAAAATCTTTTCGTTTCACGTGTCACTGACACGTCCGCGGACCGCGAGCGCGTACGACTCGTACTCGCGCTACCTTTCACGTCAAGCAATCTGTTCACGCCACATGGCTGGATAGCGCGTGAAACATGATTGAAGACTTGCAAAATCAATTTTTTTCCCAAGTCCGGGCGCTAGGCCTAGGCAGTACTAATGCCTAATCAATGCCCAGGCAGGCAGCTGACTTTATTTTCGGAGAAACACTACTCATTGTAGTAAAAAGTAACAATGAATAGCGATATCATCTAGGAAGGATCGCTACCCTAACGCGAAGGAAAGGCCTTGCGCGGCTGCTCTACGAAGTGTTGAAGAAAGACTCATCAAATTTAGTTGGTGGACGAACAACTCGCTGGCGCCGGAAAACTTGGCCCCCAACGATGGTGTTTGGTGAATCATCAAGCATAATGTCTTGTAGCAGTGTTCACCGAGGAAGGAGAACGCTCTAGACTAGTCGCTGCTGTTGTCCGTTTCATCCACGTTGGGCGTTAGCTGCACCGCGCCTATTGTGTTTTAGTATTCCATGGACGCACATTAGCATTCAGAGCGATTGTGGAGCCACAATTTACTTCACACAGCGTTGTATTGTCCACGAGCGCAAACTTTTAAGTTTGCGCTCGTGGACAATACAACGCTGTGTGAAGTAAATGCTGATAATTAAAATTATCAGCAGTACCTGTTACTCTTCATCCTACATGTGGACTTGGAGTATACACGGCCTTGTCACGACAGCGACAGCTCTACAGATCATGCAGAGTGTTCAAGTGAGAAACATTAATTTCTATTGTTGGTGGACGAATAAATGGCTGGTTCCGAAAAAACGCGGCCTGCACCGATGGTGTTTGGTGGATCATCAAACAGGGTGACCAGCAGTGTTCACCGAGGAAGGAGAATGCACTCGCCACCACTCCGATTCATCCAAGTGGGCGTTAGCTGCGCCGCGCCTATTGTGTTTTAGTATTCCATGGACGCACACTAGCGTTCTCAGCGATTGTGGAGCCACAACATATCTTCATGCGGCTTTGCACTGTCCAAGAGCAGAAACGTCAGCAGTGACCCATCATCATACATGTAGATTTGGAGTATACACACCATGCGCCAATGGGCCTCGGCACAACAGCGGCAGCTCTACGGAGTGTTCAAGTGAGAAACATTTGTTTCGACTTTTGGTGGGCGAACAAATCGTCGGTGCCGAAAAACGTGGCCTGCGCCGATGGTGTTTGAACCATCGAGGGCTCCGGAAGCAGCAGCTGAGCCAGATCAGCCAGTCTTGCCAACTCTCAGTTGCCGGACTCCGTGCTGCAGCTAGCGGCACTGGCACCAGCCGGAAATATTTTTCCGCCGATACCCGTTACTTCCAGTTCTGTCAAGGGCATAACTGGAATCCGTTGCCAGGTGATGACTTTTTACTTTATGTGTTATTTTGCTGCCGAGTTGTTCAGAACTTTTCAGCCCCGATCTGTTCATGTCTACATGTCGGCCATCCGCAAACTTCATGTGGAAGTTGGCTTTACCTACCCGTCAGGCCCAATAACTCTCCTCGCAAGGTTCCTGTCGGGCATCAACAGGTCATCATCGACACAGCGTCATCGCCTGCTGATAACCACTCAACTTCTCAGGGAGATTAGCCGGCATGTTGCCTTTCCACGGATGTGGCACCCTCATGACAAGGCCATGCTAAGGGCAAACTGACTGCTTTATTTTAGCTTTACATTACCGCAGTCAGTCCAGCACAATACGCCAATCGTATTTCACTATTACTCGCGTGTCATAATTGGGGATATGGGCTGCTCCGCCCTATATCCCTGATATGCCAACTAGATGAAAAGTGTGTTCTGAGCCTGTATCGCGTATAATAGGCTCATCGTAAAACAAATAATAAAAGTCTTAAAAATCAGGGTTCACGTGACACTCGGGTTCCAGCCAAGTTTTCCGCATCCGCAGGAACGCTACCCCCCCCCCCCCCCCCCCCCCCCCCCCCTCTTGAATCATAGCATAGTGAACTGTGCAATGAACAGATTATGGAACTCCCTGCAGATTTACCACGGTCATATCTGGTGACTGGTCTTGGGGCACCGTGGAAGCTGTGACTGGTTGCAAAGTTTTGTTTTGTGACTGATCATGGGGCATTTGTGACTACTTCGAAGCACAGCTCTGATTGATCACAGAGTCTTACTGTTGTGAAAATTTATATCGATTGAGAAGTCAAGCAGCCACGGGGCGCTGGCCTTGCAGCTGTGAGTATGCATACGGTACATATTCACATGACTCTATTGTATGCTGGACACTGCTGGTCCATTGTTGCAGTGTGTATGTGAACTGCAGAACCTATTCCGTGATGAAACACCTACTCTTAAAAGACTGAATGTTTGAGGTAATAGTCTTTTACTTCACTCTCATGCTGCTCATATAATTATACCATACGCCAGGCCTATGTTCTCACCAATAGCCACTGCTAGCTGTTTTGTCATCTTGCTGTGCCAAATGATGCTGTATAGACGCGCCAAGCAGAAATGGACTGCTTATGAGCGTGAACAGGCTGGATGGGGTGACTGATGGACTGTCGGAGTTGGCGAACCACAGAAATCGTGTCGCATCTCTGTATGCTGGGTTGGCACTGATTTGTAAAATGGCCTTCTCAGTATCGCAGGTCATGACGATTGGTGGCAGGCAAAATCGTAGAACAATGATGAATTGCCTAATGGCTAGGTCGTTGTTAGTAAGATTGCCTGAATCCTAGATGTCAACACAGTCTAGGTCCCACAGATCTGGGATGGTGCAGGAGTCGGAAGTTGCATCAGTTAGAGAAACGATAGCTGGCATGGCTGCTCATCGGCGTAGCTGAGTGCTTGGAGTGACGTGGTCGGCCAGTCACCACAAAACTGACTGTGGTAGGCAGAAACTGTAGTCCTGGCGGAAGTCCTCTGGTGCTCCCCGTCAAGACTCCCAGAGGAAATCTGCACCGATCAAGACGACTGACTATCTTACGGTCAATGGCGATACTGGTTGATGCTGCACTAGCTGCTGTTGCGCTAGATGCTGGTACCTCGTCAGCTACAGGCTGGTCAGCTACTATGTTGGTACTGCTGTCAGATTTCTGTTGAGATTCAGGGCAGATCGTGACATGATGTTGACTCTGATTGGTGACCCATGCGAGAACACACATTACACTTGCGGGTGGCCTTGCACTGAGTTGACCGGTGCCCTGTGCGCAAACACACAAAGCAACGCTTCTGTTCAATCAGTTATTCTTTCCGCTGTGCTACTGTTGTGTATTTCGCGCAGCTCTTGTCCAGGTGAGATCCGCCGCAGAATGCACACCCTGTCATACTGCTGGCATTCCAGTTAACATCAGACCGCTTCCTTCTGGTGAACTTGCACGCGCCTGTCACCAGTGCACCTGCAGAATAGTGAGTGACATCTTCTGCTGTAGTACCGCCTGTGTTTGTGCGGCGCAGAAAGGCGTCTTGCATGATAACATAACGCTTCAGTGCTGTTCTGAAGTCATTCAGTTTCCATTGTGTCCCTGCATCTGAAAAGCCTCGCGATTCGTCCAGTTGAATCAGCGTTCGGCATGATCCGTATCTTGGTCACAGCACCGTGTGATGATCTGGTGACATCAGACGGATATAATACACAAGAGACAATTGTGATATTTCTACGTTGTGTTTACTTCAGATACATAATCTAAATAAAAGGAGGGTTGTCAACCGACAATCGCTCTATTTAGTTGCTTTTCACTCTTTAGATAAAAATTCTTTTATTTATTATGTCGAAAAATTATGCGGTTGTCCGTTGACAACCACCCTTTAATTTACACTGCAGTTGCGTGATGTCCACCACTTTCTGTACATAATCTAAGAGTAATAAAACAGCCACTGACTTCCAACTACCAAGGGAAAGCAAGCCCAAGCGCAGGAGAACCGTGCGCGCGCGGGTACGTGACATAATATCGTAGTAGAGCTGGCAGGCAAGGCATGATCAGGGGTTCAGGCCCTGCCTGTAAACGCTCTGATTGGCTCAAACCCTGGCAACAATCACGTGACATGTCTGAAAGTACAAGTGGTTGCGATTTATGCTGAAGTTCAAACTGACGGAACACGTGCAGCGCTACACCATGAACCGTGTGGAAACAAAAATAAGTAGAGGAGACACGGGATAACAGGCATGAACTCAGGGTCAAACTGATAACTGTGAAACGTGAACGCATGCAGTATATGGAGACAAAACAAAGTCGCAGAATTCAGTACGCAACAAGTACTACACACTAACCTCGTACATGAGAATGTCGCGACAACATTTGAATTAGCTCTTACACCCCACTTATGTTTCAGTCAGTAAGAGTACACATGCGTACTTACGTTGACTCTATTTTATCTGACTTGTCCAACACCATCGTTGTGAGCCTTCGGCACTTGGGAATACACAGGACAGATAAGATAGCAGCAAGAGCATCTCCCCGCTCTGTGAACACAGCTCAGACGCCATGCTTCATGATTGTGTGCCCATGGAATACAAGGACACAATAGGCTTGGTGCAGCTAACGAAATGGATGAACGGTCGACGGCCTGAGTGTTCTCCTTCCTCGATCAACACTGACAGTCACCACATACCATGCTTGATGTTTCAAGCACCATCGGCGCAGGCCACGTTTTTCGGCACCGACGATTTGTTCGTCCACCAAAAGTCGAAACAAATGTTTCTCACTTGAACACTCCGTAGAGCTGCCGCTGTTGTGCCGAGGCCCATTGGCGCATGGTGTGTATACTCCAAATCTACATGTATGATGATGGGTCACTGCTGACGTTTCTGCTCTTGGACAGTGCAACGCCGCATGAAGATATGTTGTGGCTCCACAATCGCTGAGAACGCTAGTGTGCGTCCATGGAATACTAAAACACAATAGGCGCGGCGCAGCTAACGCCCACTTGGATGAATCGGAGTGGTGGCGAGTGCATTCTCCTTCCTCGGTGAACACTGCTGGTCACCCTGTTTGATGATCCACCAAACACCATCGGTGCAGGCCGCGTTTTTTCGGAACCAGCCATTTATTCGTCCACCAACAATAGAAATTTTAAAATGTTTCTCACTTGAACACTCTGCATGATCTGTAGAGCTGTCGCTGTCGTGACAAGGCCGTGTATACTCCAAGTCCACATGTAGGATGAAGAGTAACAGGTACTGCTGATAATTAAGTTTGCGCTCGTGGACAATACAACGCTGTGTGAAGTAAATTGTGGCTCCACAATCGCTCTGAATGCTAATGTGCGTCCATGGAATACTAAAACACAATAGGCGCGGTGCAGCTAACGCTCAACGTGGATGAAACGGACAACAGCAGCGACTAGTCTAGAGCGTTCTCCTTCCTCGGTGAACACTGCTACAAGACATTATGCTTGATGATTCACCAAACACCATCATTGGGGGCCAAGTTTTCCGGCGCCAGCGAGTTGTTCGTCCACCAACTAAATTTGATGAGTCTTTCTTCAACACTTCGTAGAGCAGCCGCGCAAGGCCTTTCCTTCGCGTTAGGGTAGCGATCCTTCCTAGATGATATCGCTATTCATTGTTACTTTTTACTACAATGAGTAGTGTTTCTCCGAAAATAAAGTCAGCTGCCTAGCGCCTGCCTCACGGCTGTTAGCTGCACTTGGATCGCGGCAACTTAGTTTTCTGCACGTGAACCATGAAAAATCAATGCATGCTCATGCATCTTCATGCATAACCAGTCAGCTGGCCTGCTCGCCCACGCATTTGACAGGTAACAATTCCATCAAATTTGAGATATCGCTTCGTTCTAAGTCTCAAAACAGTTCTAAAGTCACCAAACCACGCTGGTAATCGATGGCTATTCAATGTTAACATCTTCAGGAAGACTTCAGCCGTTTCCCGAGAGTTTGGGCATCGTTGCCGTTATTTTTCACGGTGTTCTCCTTCCTCCTGTCTGGAGCTGCAATTGCATCCTGGAATTATTTGAAAGGTATTTCGTGCGGGCTGTGGGGGGTTCCAACAGGCATAAACTGACATCGCTATAGGATAACTGGTAACTTTCACCCTTCAAGGAGGTAGAGCAATGAGAATTTTTTTGTGGCGGTCGTCCAATTTTTGTGGCGGTCGTGGCTGTATTTGTGCACTTCCAAGGCTTTCATTCTGCCTGATACTACTCTCTACTGTATGGGAATCGTTGTTTAGGCACATGTAGCTGTCTTATTTGGTAGATCTGCTGTTTTCAATCACTTGGGACACTTTGTCTAGCCTATTTGTCTTTCGTTCGTGCCATCTATTAGTTTTGTGGGGTACCTTGACCTGTATTTGTGAAGTTCTCGAGTAAAGACCCTAATTCTTGACTGGAGTCACGTCTTGAATTGAATTTGCTGGGTGAGCCCTCGTTCACGCAGTTGTACTTATCGTAATAGTCAATATCTGCTTGCTGGACGGACTAGCGGCTAGAATACGGATGACCAAATGGTCCAAGTGTGTACTAGTACACGATTATTGTTTCCATCATCGTGAAATGAGCGTTGTGGAATTGCAGTCGTCTGCCTTTGGCACTGAGGACATGAGGAGAGTTGATTGTTACTTCTGCTCAGCAATGAAGCGATCATCAGCTCTCTTTGTTCTAATTATTGAGAGGACATACCGGCATCGCAATCAAGTAAAGATTAGGCAAACCTCGCCAACCTCCAAAGAGAGTCGAAGATATTTTCTCCAAATGCAAAGACGATCTTTGTGAGTTTGTGACTTGCATTTGCGTGCATACATGAGCAAGTCACGGACCACGGCACGTGCGCGGTTACCATGCCATCTCGAACCGACACCATCTTTCTAAGTTGCCGCTTCTTGACAGCCGTGGCCTGGGCATTGATTAGGCATTAGTACTGCCTAGGCCTAGCGCCTGGACTTGGAAAAAAAAATAATTGATTTTGCAAGTCTTCAATCATGTTTCCATGTACGCGCTATCCAGCCATGTGGCGTGAACAGATTGCTTGACGTGAAAGGTAGCGCGAGTACGAGTCGTACGCGCTCGCGGTCCGCGGACGTGTCAGTGACACGTGAAACGAAAAGATTTTTTTGGCGGGTAGTCGGCAAAAATTAAGTGACGGTCCCTTTAGTCCTTCGCTAAAACGATAGGGATCACCATGATCATCCGAAACACCCAGAGTTTCCATGACAACTCTTTTCCTTTTCCCGCTGCAGTGCACTACATGTACACACCGCTAGCACTGTTCATGCACGATCGATACGATGGCCGATCGATGGCCGGATGACAAAACAAAAATCACTGAAGCCTGTTTTTGCTGACCAACAGTACAACCTGGCTTTGATGTGAGCTGAGCTACAGTTTTAGCTGTTCGATTGTTGATTGCCAAAAAGGACGTTTGAGTTGCAACAGTAATTAGCACTGGTGGGAGGGTAGAGACCTGAGGCCGGGTGGCCGAGCGTCCACAGTGCAATTAAATTCTGTTTATGTATAAGTTTATGCCTAGACGGAGAAGATGCAGCGAGGAATATCAAGGCCCATCGCCTTTTTCTTAGGTGGCCTAATGGCATTATTGATGAATAGGCTTACTTACCCAGAAACACAGCCTGCCATGCAGCATCAGCAGTTTGTCACTTCAGAGCACCTGATGGAGAATGCTGAACCTTTTAGAAAGAAGCCAGCGGAGGTGGCGAAAGAACCAGATCAGAAGAATGCCCCTGCTGGCGGTGGTGAGGGGATCGTTGTGACGGACACATACGTTCGTCCAAAGTTGGAGTGGGTCGATGCAAACCACGCCATGCCATCCCAGAAGGAGGTGACGTCGACATGCCAGACGCGCCTTTTGGTATTGATTATGTCTGATGCTAGGCAACAGTGGAAACGAGATGCCCAGCGGGAATCTTGGGCTGTAGACGTGGCGCGCTATGCCACGCTCGGAGTTAACAAAGCCGACTTCAAGTATGTTTTTATCCTGGGTCGGTTATTTGATCAGATTCCCGACAAGGTCGTCCAAGAAGCGCACAAGGCGCGCGACATCATTGTGTCCGACATCAACGACTACGACATAGACGGCGCGACGAACAAGTCCGTCTGGGCGCTGCGCTGGGCCCTGCAGCACTGCACGTTCACGCACGTCCTGAAGACGATGGACCACGCGTTTGTCAACGTGCCCCTGATCATCAGCCAGTGGCTGCCGCGCATGGAGGCGGGCAGCTACTTCGCCGGCCACCGTCTGACCGACGTGGTGGTGAATCGGGATCCTAATCTGAACTGGTACATATCCGAGGAGGACTACCCCAAGTCCAAGTACCCTACGTATCCGCAGCAGGACTATGTGTTGTCCCGCGATGTTGCCGATGACCTCGTCAAGGTGATGAACCGGACGTTCACACGCATTTACTATGATGATGTAGCCGTGGCGCATGCGTTGGCGACAGGCAAGCCGAAGCTCTCCTTGCAGCACGAGCCGAACGTCATCCACCTCTGCACGGTGGGTCTCAATTGCTGGGCTGCGCGCGTGTGTGTGTGTGGCTGGTGTGTGTGTGTGTGGGGGGGGGGGGGGGGGGCTGTGGTGTGTGTAGCTGGTGTGTGTGTGTGTGGGGGGGGGGGGGTGCCTGTGGTATGTGTGTGTGTGTGTGCATGCACGCTCGTGTGTGTGTGCATGCACGCTCGTGTGTGTGTGTTGGGGGGGGGGGGGGGGTGTAACCTCCCAAATAAGGACACAGTTGCCGCAGGGACCAAATATATGGAGCACGTACTTTTGCGCTTTTCATTCCAAAAAGCAGTCACAAGGAATCGTTGATCCGTATCATTACAGTCATACATCCTCACACAGTCCACAGTCATACATCATCACACAATCATACATTATTTACTACATTGTACTGACTCTGGACGTGTACAACCTGTGGACGCCATACGAGTGCGCTTGCTGATGCTCAAAAAGACGTATTTCATCACTGAGTTTGACTCAAATCCTCCTTGCTGAAACCTTTTAACAATTTCCCGGGCGTATTCACGTTTCGTGCCCTCAACTAGAAAGTGGAATGCGGCAGTTTGCCCCCGGAAGAGAGAGAGAGAGAGGGAGAGGGAGAGAGAGCAATGTTGCTGCCCGCCCTTTCGTGGTCGTATTTAGAGGTGGCGTCCTGTCTGTAGGTCATACGACACGTACCTTGTACACACATTGCAACGTTGTGCAGTTAGTCCGGACTTCATTGGATCTCCATGCAAGTGCATACTAAGGGTGCGTTCTTAAATCCTCTCGGAAAAGTTGGAGACTCTCCGAAAAGTTCGAGAGCTGTTCTTATATCCTCTCCGATTTTTAGGAGGCTCTCCAAAGCTCTCCAAGCTTCAGAGGTGGTTGAAACTTGGAGATTCCCGCGGTTTGGGATTAGCGCATGCGAACTACGACTAAAAGCCACGTGCTCATCATGAGTGTACGCATTTCCCTTTTCGCATACGCACACGTGCATTGCTACATTCATCACTCAAGATCGCAGCCCCTTTGGCGCTTCATTTTGCTTGACATGTGCAAAATATCTCCGAATTCTTCGAGACCCGTTCTTGAATTATCCCAGTTCCTTCGTCTTCTCTTTTCTTCTTCTCCTAGAAGCTAGAGAATATAAGAACGCACCAGAAGGGTGACCTTTTGTGCACTGCGGTTCTCATACCGTACAAACTCAGGGGCCCTCTCGCGGTGCCAGTGCTCAACGGTACGTAAGGGCACGTTCGAATTACCGACAAGAAGTGATAGAATGGGGAAGTTTCCGTGGTGATTTGATCATGTGACGTTACTGGCACTTTGTCGACGGAATGTTTTACTGCCGCGGCTGCTGCGGCGGAAACAGCATTCCGGCAGTGAAAAAAAAAGGTGCTCAGGCTGGGAGTAGGGGAAAATCCCTTCTCAGTGCCGCTGTGAGAGCTGCGCAAGTAACGCTACACTTGTAGTTTATCGGTACAGTCAGACCTCGCTTAACCGCACACATCCGTTTTCCACAAAATATCCGGATAGGCGAGGGAACTGGATAATCGAACACACACTGTACCAGGGGCGTGCTTGGCGAGGGGCACAGGGGGCAAGTGCACCCCCCAAAATATTTCGACCAGAGTTTTGAAAAGTCACCAATGTATTGCGGAAAGCCCGACCTCGCGGGAACATACCCACTACGGCATGCCTGTAAACACAGATGAGGTGCTGAATCTTTCGAGGCTCTCCTCGCCGAACCCTGTCCAGATACTTCAACTAGTGTGTCGATTGTTCTTAGCTATATCCGTGCTGCATCTGCTGCTCCGGTTTACCGGATGCTAGCGGCTGTCGTGAGTTCCCTTCGGGAACGGACACGATAATTTACTTTCTTTTTTTATATCCGTACGATGTGTGTTTGCATCGGCCTGCCTGGCCCAGTGCCGTTGACGGATTGGTTTTAAACATTTGTAAAGTTTTCATCCTTTGTTTTGAAAAAATATGATGCTGTACTGTGTTCATTCTTGATGACATACAATCTTTGTAACAGTAATGATGACGTCACTTGTACAATTATCTGATGATGTCACCGGCCAAATGTTTGGGAACGGCTGCAGCAACTTCACAACGCCATCGAGCATTGTCTTTCCCAAACCAAAGTGAATTTATTTATTTCCGAAACACAAATTATATGAATGGAAAACATGGAAAACCTCCAGTCAAGTACGCGCTGGTACTACGAATTACCAGTACAGAACTGCCTCGCGTACCACGTACATATGCATGACAAAAAAACAACTCCGCGGCGACACAGCGCCGCGGCTCGATCCCAACGTGACAAGCGAACAGCATGCACACATCAAATAAATGCACAACGTAGAAACAGAAATATTCGAACAGAAACAATAACAAAGTAACAGGAATGTAAGATTGTTCATCTACAGATATTCAAAGACTTTCACACTCAATAGGCCTTATGCACGTTGTACAGATGCACGAAATCCCGTAGAATCCCGTAGACCCGGTTGGGTGTTGAATGTGCAGGACCCTATTGTGTTTATTGCTATTTCCACAGCGAAATGGGCCCTGAAGGCATTTCATACGAACACTTTTTCGACAGTGATCTAGCGAGTCGTTAGTTCAATCCCAAAGTGAAGAAGCTGGAAAAGTGATTGTTCGCCGCGAATTATGAGGCTAAATGGGCCAAACACGCATGTATAGCACACAATGAACACCCAACCGGGTATGTACACACCTACGGCCCTAGTACAGAACTTCGTACATCTGTACAATGTGCATAAGGACTATAGTGGTTGCACGACATCCTCCCCACCAAAGTCTTCTCAGGCGTAGCGAGCTGGAGGCCGAATCGTGCGCGTACGGGTCGATCTTGCAGGCGGAACCGCTGGCGCTGGCTCTGATTACTGTGGAGCCTCTGGCCGTGGCACCGCAACTGGCGTGCATCTTCCTCTCTGCTCTGTTTTATTTTCTCTTTTCGTTCGTCCCTCTTGATATTTATACTTTGTACTGTTGAGGCAACGAACTGAAATAATAAAAACCAAACCAAACCAACCGGTACAACCTTTTACAAATTATTGCTGTTGTCTGGAAGTGGTGCACCCCCCTGGAAGGGGAGCCGAGCACGCCCCTGTGTACGTATGCATGGTTATGCTGTAAATCGGTAACCGGCGATTTTCTTCCGGATAAGCGAGGTCTGACTGTAGTGCGAATGTTGTTGACGGTTTATTGCCATTCACGGGTTGATGGGGTCTGAACGCACCCTTTATAGCGGACCAGCGTCATTCTCAACGGCCTAGATGTGCAGTAGAGCCTGCCCTAATCGTTGGTGCAGCGGAAACTGTGCTGTTTGTGTCGTGTGCGTGCATTTCTGTTGTAACGCACTTCGGCTATAAAGAACTAATTCTGTCTGTGTGTTCTTATGTTGTGTGTCATGTGCAGCCGGCTGTTTCTCGGCCGTACGTCGTGCTGAAGGTTTTGGAAGCGGCCGACATGAAGAAATATGGAGCGGACATGTTCAGCAAACAAATTATTTGCCATTTGAGCAGGAAATGAGCAGACAGCAGTATTACAGATGACAATGTGTTTTTACGGCTTCTCTCCTCGTATCGTCACCCCGCATTCACACCGGGAGATCTGAAGTTTTGTAGCGTCGCATTGCGCCCCCCTCCTGTCACTTACTCTCTCCGTGTAATGTATATAGCCCCCAGCCCCCCCCCCCCCCCCCCCCCTGTGTATACTACCGTTCCCTGCCGTATGTACCATGCCTGCAAGAGCTGGTTTTTTTTCTATTGTTCTTGATGCTGGCCCGTTTGTAATGTAAGGAGGTGTTTGCTCCCCCCGGCCCCGGGGCAAAAATGTTTACTCTGCTTCGAAATGTCCTGTCTTTTATACCAACATATTTGCTGATACTCAGAGGGGCATCGAGATTCTATCCAGATGACATTATAGTACCTGTACAAGTACGTGTCTATGAACGGTTGCTTGCATTTGAAAATGTCTCGCATGAAACACATGTGCTAACATAATATATTATTATAATGCGTATCCTGTGCAGCAAGCAGCCGCAGAGGAGCGCTGCGTATGGCCGTGATCATGCACATGCTTGTATGTGTGCGTCTCCTGTGTGTGCGTGTGTGTCTGTGTCCGTTTGTTATGTGTCTCTCCTATGTTGCAGTGCATGGGGGGGGGGGGGGGGGATGCAATCATGGGGCACCTCTTTCTGTGTTTTAAAGATGGGCTGCACGATATCAACTGGCCCTTTTTTTTAGTTTTAGTTTTTCAGTAAAATCTATTATGTTACCTTGTACAGCTCTAAATAATGGCGTGACCTCCTAATGTACTTCTGTTACTTTTGGCTTTCTCTTTCCTTTTTCTGTGATTTGTACGTTGCCATCAACAGCATGCATGCGCCAGGCGACGGGAGGGAGACATAAACATTTTACGACTCACTAGTGCACTTGATGCTGCGCACGTGAATCGTGGAGTGCTAATTTTAGTACTACCTGATGGTGGCAAAGGTCAACCAGACAAGCGTCAAAATACTCAGTCACAGTCAGTGCAGTAATACACGCCAGTATGTTTCAAAATCGCGTTTCAAAAATACTCAGCTGATCAGTGCAGTATTATGTTTCGAAATACAAAAAGCTTCACTGGCTTTTTAAAATGTTTATGTTATCCGCAACCACATACTAGTACAACACTGCCTCTTTCATAAACTGTAAGTCCTCAGGCGCAGGGTCATGAGATGGCGTTGTTCTCCTCTCGCGTTTAGTCCGCACATAAGCTACTCTAGGCGTATGATTAGTCACTGTCCAACTCACGAAATTGCCCACGCACACAATCGTAATTACTGTATGAGCACAGCCACTAGTAGTCGTATCCATAAATTTGTCCAGCTGCCGAAACATCGGTGCTTGCATAGCGGACATCCACATCGGCCTACATGCACGATGGAGGCCCGGGGCCTCTCCACGTCTGCTCGTGATGGCCACGACAGCAGCAGCAATGGCAAGTCACTACTGGAGCAGCTATTCGACCTAGAAGGTATTAGGTATTCCATTTTTTTCCATTTATTATTAATGACGAATTTCGGAACTGCATGTAGAAGTCCCGGTACATAAATTGTACAGTAAGTTAAACCTGTGACTAACGACCACCCCTTGGGGCCAGAGAAAGTGGTCTTTAGTGGCAGGTGGTTCTAAGTTAGAGGTTTGCACGGCGCAACCATGATATGAATGTGAGACCGTCCGTGCCTGGCAAAGTGGTCTGTAGTACATGTACCAGGCTGGTCGCTAGTCACGGTGGTCTTTAGTTACAGGTTTTACCGTAGTACCAGGCTGGTCGCTAGTCACGGTGGTCTTTAGTTACAGGTTTTACTGTAGTACCAGGCTGGTCGCTAGTCACGGTGGTCTTTAGTTACAGGTTTTACTGTAGTACCAGGCTGGTCGCTAGTCACGGTGGTCTTTAGTTACAGGTTTTACTGTATAATAGGGAGGTTTAGTCCCACGTAATCCGTGGGTACTTTACGTGTGTGTACCACGTGATACTCAGTGACCCACGTAAAGACGTTTTCTGATTCACGACATACCGTGTTGTATGGAGGCTCACCCACGTTCTGGCATCAGAATGGAGCGCATTTTGCAAGCTGCGAGGGTGCTCAGCTGAAGAAGTTTCCGAAGCTCGAAATCAAAATGTTCGATGAGCTTCTTAGGCCCGGGTAGCTTCGTCTTTGACCAGGTTTGGGCCTTTCGCTTCATGCCTTTGTTTGTTCCGTGTGACTAAACACAACATTGCAACGTGGATGCCCTTCATCCACTTTACGTGGATCACGCACGTACGTGTTTCCGTTACGTGGGAACTAAACCTCCCTATTATGCATGATCCATGTGAAGCTCCCGAAGCCTAGGTAATGATTCTGATTAGTGATTCTGATTAATTTTTGAAAGACTGATGGGAAATGTTTTTTAGTGGAAGTGAGCCATAATTAGAGTATTCAACGGATAATTCAGGTAGATGCGTCCTGCAATAGCTACCGGTACGTTACTGGAACGGCACGCGAAGAATCCCTTGATCACTTTTGTCCCGTACAGTACGAGTAGGCAGTTCGCGGCTCTATGCTCACGCAAAGAAATCACATGGAATGTGTACTGGGAATTTCCCGTTCAAAATCGCGGCAGTTTTCTCGCTAATTTGAATGATGCACAAGAGAGAGATTGGAAGATTTGTTACAACTCTGATTTTTACGTACATGTATGACTACGATCATCAGGCCACTGATGGATCCAAAAAAACCCGATGGATATCTAGCAGAAAGCATTTTTTTGCGTGTGCCACAACGTGGAGATCCTCATCTACGAGTAGAAACCTACAGCCCAACACACACACACACGAAGCAATGAACTCTAACCCGGACACCTGTTCTTTGCATGATTCCCGCCTTACGTTTCGCGTGAAGCAGGACTGACCTCTCTGTACTGTGTGCATGGCATGGCATGTGCCGTAGTGTGACCTGTGACTTAACGCGGCGAGTAAAACACGGAATCGGAATTCGGCTGGCGCCCAGACAAGGGATGCACATGTGTCACGTGCTCGTAGGTGCATAAATCGGCCCTGCCCGGAGGTTGATCGGAACTCCCTCCCCCCCCCCCCCCCCCCCCCCCCCCCCCGTTTCACTTTCCAGTTGATGCTAAAGCTCTCTGGTGCACGTGAAGAGATGGAATGCTAAACCCGCTAAATACATTTCATCCCTTTTTGGATATTGGCCAAAAACGGATTCACTTTATAGGCGATTCAGACTACGGCCAGCTGTGACCACGTTTCTACGACTCAGACGTGTTTGATCAGAGATTGTGCATACCGTATGTCCACACCTTTAAAGCCATGGAGTTATATTCGATTATAAAGCCAGTCTCAGTTATAAAGCCATGGGTTTCAGAAATGAAAAAGACATTTGCAGTTTGTTTTGTAAAAGTGAAGGAATAAGTACTATGCTAACAAACTTACAGCCCAGCAGGAAGGGTGAACAGGTGGATTTAGATTGAAATTTTAGTGTTGACTTTGACTTTTATGGCATGGCGTAGTGGGCGAGTCATTTTGCATCTAAAATATCTAGGAAAGCAGCGGTGTTTCGAATATAAGGCCATGGCTTTAAAGGCGCTGACGCACGGTAATAATTTGAAACACGACTGCATCATGATGGAAATTCAAGTTCAGACGTGATTTTGGCCGTAGTCTGAATCGCCTATTATGTGCGTGTATCCAAATCCATATTTGGGTTCCAGTTTTTAAAGGGTTCTAGTCGGATTTGAAATGTGAAATTTGCCGCTAGACCTTTTAATTACACTGAGCTGAAAGTCTGATATTCTCAAACCCGGTGCTCATCAGCTTCTGCATCTCAGCTCTTCACATGTACTCATGTACAGTGAAGCTTGTCTAAAACGACCGCTCAAGGGGCTTTTCAAAGTGGTCTCTGTAACCAGGTGGTCTCCTTATCCAGTGCCATTTGACTGGAAATAGCATCCCTTGGCCCTTGCTGCAGTGGTCTTCTAGAACAGGTGGTCGCCTTATCTGAGTGGTCGCCTTGACAGCTTTTACTGTATGTGTTCTCTCGTGCCAATGCCTGCATATATGTGTATGTGTGTGTGCACACTAGTAGCAAATATTATCTTCACTGGGGGCAGGGGTAACTGCAATTTGATCCCGGGACGGATACCCTGTTGCCGTCAATCCTTTTTCTGCACCTTGTCCCCACCCACTTACTGCGGTGTGGTGAGCCCATAAGTGGGATCATTTCCAAGTCCACCCATAGTTTGGGGATTTCAGGGGGTGTCGGCCGCTGGGCGGTTCATTACTGAATCAATAGCCAATTGATTCATCTTTCCAAGATTCCTTTTGAATCTCTCTCCCCTCTCCCGGGGAGACCCACGTGACCAGTTTTGGCAGTGAGCAACAAGTACCAATAAGTACACGAGTGTGCGTGTGTGTGTGTGTGTGGGTGTATGTGTGTGTGGATGTATGTGTGTGTGTGTGTGTGTGTGTGTGTGTGTGTGCGTGTGTGTGTGTGCGTGTGTGTGTGCGCGCTCGTGTGTGTGTGTGCGCGCTCGTGTGTGCGGCAGAAATCGACGAAAATCGCTACCGCGGGCGCACGACCTGGTACCCGTTTGGCGCGACGTACACGTACGGCGGCCAGGCCATAGCTCAGTCGATGATGGCCGCTGGGCTGTCCCTGGTCAGTGAGCACCGGGACAAGATCATCAACTCGGTGCACACGTACTTTGTACGGCACGGCACACACGACCAGGACATCATGTACGAGGTAGGTCCCCCTCCCCCCATGTGGGTCGTTGGGTGTTTGTGGATTGGCAGGGTGGCGAAGTGAGTCCCCCCATGTGGGTCGTTGGGTGTTTGTGGATTGGCAGGGTGGCGAAGTGAGTTTGGCGGGTTTTGTGGATTGCCCGACTGACCAAGTGAGTTTTGTGGGTTTTGTGGATTGGCCGGGTGACCAAGTGAATTTGGTAGGTTGTTGTGGGTTGACCGGGTAACCAAGTGAGCTAAGTGGGAGCAACGTGTTAAGCTGTGTGCGTGTGTGTGAAGGGCAGCACGCCAACTTCCTCGACACAAGTTTAGGCTCCACACGGTGCGGTAAATTCCATTTCTGTCTGTTTGTACTCAAAGCTTTCTTTGGGAAAACCACAAATTGTGATGGAAATGCCAAAACCAAGTACTGTATAGCAGGAAATTTTCGGACGGAATTTATTTTCGTACGATTTCGTACATGGCCTCTTTGTACTAAAATTAATTCCGTACTAAAATTTGTTCCTGTGAAGTGTATGTGCACTATACATGCGTACCGCATGCGAACACGTGCATTTAGCATGCAGCACTGTACGAAAATATAATCCGTACGAAAGGTCGAAATTTGACTTTGTCCGAAAATATGTCCGTCCGAAAATTTCCTGCTATACAGTAAAATAATTACCAAAATCCAGTATATTTTATTTAAAACCGATACAAATTTGTACCATGCCAATCAGCTACTTTTAAAAATCACTTTCCAACCCACAACAAGATGCAGGCTATTATTAGATGCAGCATGCTACTAACGCCGACCATCCAACAAACCACAGGGATGAATTTACTGTCATTATTTCGCATAGCAGTTTTGCTTTTAAATACAAAATCTCAATTCTGTAGCAGTCTTGGATTTCTGATTAGCAGTTTCTTCTAAGGCTGAGTGCTCACCACATTGTCCTTGTTGAGAGCCATTCCTGAAAACCCATCTACAAAATGATGACCGCAATTCCCGTAGACCACGGGGATTGAGAGTGCCTGTATCACCACACTGCACTCTGTGCATGTTTCTTGACAGCGCAAGCTAGGCATGAATAGCCTGTATGCGGCGCAGTTTTCTGCTAGTCGTGGTGATTTCTGAGTAGCAGTACGTCGATCTTGCGTAGCAAACTGCCATGCGATACCGGATAAATTCATCCCTGAAACATTGCAAATAATCGACATAGAGACAACAATTTAAAAATAGCAATAAAGAGAAAAAAATTCTGCTGTCATCGCCACACTACAACGAAGTCCTGAACGTTTTCCAAAATCGATTTCTTGTCACATTCATCTGTTAACATGAATGTGACAGGAAAATCGATTTTGGAAAACTTTCATGACTTCGTTGTAGTGTGGCGATGACAGCAGAATTGATTCTCTTTATTGCTACCCTGAACCATTTCTGTTTGTTTGTGTGTGTGTTGTTCACAATGCCCACAGGTCGACGATGTTCGCGATGGAAAGAACTACAGTACGCGGCGCGTGGACGCCTCTCAGAACGGCCGCATCTTCTGCACGTCCATAATCTCGTTCCATCGTCATGACGCCAGCAGCCCCATGGAGCACCAGGATGAGATGCCCGCGGACATGCCGCAGCCGGACGAGCTGTACGAAACCACTCACCTGCGCAAAAAGTGAGGCTCGCGTGTGTGTATGTGGGTGCGCGCAGGGCTGTGTCGGGCAAGGATGTCTACTGGGAGTCGGGTTAGGGTAATTGTCTGCGAGTAGAACGTGTGTTGCGCAAATGAGCCACCGATGTGTGCGTGCGTGCGTGCGTGCGTGCGTGTGTGTGTGTGTGTGTGTGTGTGTGCCTGACTCACTCACCCCCTCTCTCTTGTCTTGTGATATGAATGGACTTCACACAGTGCTATACCCAACACTGAATGTGTGTTTGGTCTGTTGGCGGTTGTTAGGTACTTTGAAAGCCGCGGCTCGGCCGACCAGCTAGCCTGGTACCGCCGCTTTCCCGACGACCAGCTGCACTACAGGAACATACTGCACCCCAAGGACATGCCCATAGATGAGCTGCTGTCAGTGGACGAAAGGTCAGTAGTTTTTTTTAAAAACTATTTTTACGTCACACACCTCCTAAGTATGCGTTATGATGGAAAAAGGAAAAAAAGGGCAAAAAAGAAGCAGTTGCCTTCCTGTTAATCAGGCCCGCCGAAACCCGTCCACTTGGTCAGGTCGTCACCGGACCAACTTGTTGACCACCATCAACACATGTTTGCTGCGGTGTCTGGTGATATGTCGATTTTGTAGAAGAAGAAAAAAAATGAGGTTATGTGTACCCAGTAGATGGAACACAACGCATGAAAGATCCATTCCTGACACCGGTCGAAAAGGCCGAAGCGCTGACAACGTTACCGGATTGTGTGTGTGAAAATGCAGCTCTTACATGAGCGTGGCGAGTTGCTTGGGAGCAGTTTATAAAGTTTGGAAGGTTAGGGAATGGCCGGACTATTGAAACTGCGTCCGGCAGTCCCGACACTGGTCTAGTGAATGCACCACATCTGCAGCACAGCGTGCGGACTAACATTTTATTTTGTAGTCCGGTCAACTGAAGGTGCCGCAGCCAATACTGTCACAAGTGACCTGAAAAGGATACCCACGTTCTCACACAAAGTTAATTTTCTTTAACTCCGCATCGTTTATCCATACTCAATTTTCTTCTTGTTTTGTTTTGTTTTCACCACAACCTGTGCAGTAGTGGCATAACAATGTGGCAGCAGCTCAAGCAACCGCTGGTCTCGCGCAGTCACCTCGTTCATCAGTGCATGCTCGGCTACCTGACGGATCTCGGCATTTGCCGCTCGGCCGTTTCGCGCAATCGCTCTCTCGTCAAAGTGCCAATGTTCACATCTCTGGATCACACGATTTGGTTTCATCGGCCAGCCATGATCGCCGATGACGATTGGTTTTTGTACCAGACGCAGAGTCCCGTGTCGGCCGGTGGTCGCGGCCTGAATCTCGGAAGGTACGCCCGTATTCTTGCGTGGTTGCATGTGTGTGTGTGTGGGGGGGGGGGGGGAGTGTCACTGTGTGTGTATGTGTGTGTGTGGGGGGGGGGGGGGGGAGTGTCACTGTGTGTGTATGTGTGTGTGTGGGGGGGGGGGGGGGGGGGGAGTGTCACTGTGTGTGTGGGGGGGGGGGGGGGGAGTGTCACTGTGGATGTATGATACCCCTGAAATCCAGAGATTGGGGATTTCAGGGGCTGTTGGGCAGTTCAATAGCCAATTGAGTCATCTTTCCAAGATTCCTTTTGAATCTCTCTCCCCTCTTCAGGGGAGACCCGCATGACCAGTTTTGGTAGTGAGCAACAAGTACAAGTGTATGTGGATGTGTGTGTTTGTGTATGGGGGAGGGGGGCGAGGGGGGGGGGGGGGGGCGAATTGTGACCGCTCACACGTCATGACATCGCTTGTCTGGGCTCCATGGGTCGAGGCTGCGATCACGATTATGACCTTATGTAGACCAAGGCTTACGCCGAGTTTCCAAATCCGGGGACGAAACACGTGCCGTTTCATGTATTCTTAAGTCATTGCTATCGTGGTGTCTCCTCTGATGCTGCGACTTCCCACAGATACCCACAGATATCCGACCTACATTTTACTAGTGCTGTGAAAGCTATCAAATGTCAGTCAGTGTAGCTTGTCCGACGGTTTGTCGGTTCCGCGAGTTGTGGCTAAGCCCCTGGGCATCCTGGGTTGTGGCTAAGCCCCTGGGCATCCTGGTACAAATCCATGTCATCATATCTTTAAAATACCTCCATTAATTTTCAAAAACCTTAGGCACTCAAGGTTTTAGTTACTGGTACGCTGTCGAAATACCGTAGAATCCCGCGTATAAGCCCACCCGCGTATAAGCCCATGCTCGCGCATAAGCCCATGCTCGCGCATAAGCCCATGCTCGCGCATAAGCCCATGCTCGCGCATAAGCCCATGCTCGCGCATAAGCCCAGGGAAAGTTGGATGCACATAGTACATGTGCGTTTTTTTTGGTTTTTTTTGTGCGTTCCAATTGATTTTTCCTTTTTATTTTGTTTTCCAATTGATTTACTAGATTTTATACTTCGAAGTAGGTACTTCCTTGGTACTTTTCATTAGCACAATTTCGGTGTCGGCATATACATGGCATAAGCCCGTGTCCGTGCATAAGCCCACCGAAATGTCCTTGTGAAACAGATAAGCCCGGGGGGGGGGGGGGGGGGGTTGCGGGGCATATCCACGGGATTCTACGGTAATGAAGAGAAGTTTTAGGTAGTGAGAAGCAGTTCCCCTATCGGGATGAATTGTGTAAGTGTAGAGTGGCTATTGAATTTTTAGGTATGAACAGTTTTTCGGTACGTTCGGTGCATCTCTCGAATTCTGTTTGTTTGTTGTTTGTTTGTTTGTTTGTTTGTTTAGCTTTATTTTACTTCACCAGAAGCACAGGCAAAATCTGCCTTCTCACTGGGCGTATTGCCACAGTTCTCGCAAAACGATGAAGATAAGGATAATGATAAGAAAAGGCGGAAGAGGAAAATACAATCATGAACACAGCACAAAGAGAAGACGGAAACAAATCAATGAGGGAGTACAAACAACAAACAAACGGAATTCAAGAGATGCACCGAAAGTACCGAAAAACAAAGGTGCACCAACACTTTTTGTGAGATCACAAAATTTGGTGAGGTTTGCTGTCATTCTGTCGTTGGTTATTATTATTATTATTATTATTATGAAATTACAGAGTTTGGTGTGTTTTGTCGTCATTCTGTCGTAGACTATTCTCCAAAGATGGCGTTCTGCTGGCCAGCACGGCTCAAGAAGGTGCCTATCGTGCCAGCAAGCTGTAGTGAGTGAGTGTGTATGTGTGCGTGCGCGTGCGTATGTGCATGTGTATGTGTCTGTGTGCGTGCATGCACCCCTATCGTGCCTGCAAGCTGTTGAGAAGTTGTGCGTCAACGGCAGTCGGCGGTGAGATGGTCCTAAGCACTCTCCGGGCATGCACCGACCTGCTATGGCCGACAACGGCGAGTCCGCTTGCGCTTAGACAGGCTGGTCACCGGGGCCTACTAGTACCCGCCCCGCCCCGTGCACAGCGCAGCCCAACACCTCCGCTCAGACTCCCCTGCTTGACTTGCACCATCGCACGAGCTTTTTTATTTTATTTTTTATTTTTTACAAGATCGTAGTTGAAGATACACAACTCCCTGGCAGTCACATGACTCATCGGCAGCCACATGACTCACTGGCAGTCACATGACTCACTGGCAGTCACATGACTCACTGGCAGGAACATGACTCACTGGCAGGCACATGGGGCTAGCGTGGGGTGAGATGGTGCTGATGGGGCCTGTCATGCTCAACTGACCAGAGGCCTTGGCATCTTTGAACTTGCCCCCGTTATGCCGTGCCGGCTGGTCGCTCGCCCGCTAACTTATTATCGCCTGATGCCATTCCAATTGCCCAAGATATACAAGAGAATGGAGTGAAGTTGACCCCGTATCCCATATCAGCGCTCTCAGCATTCCTCCACAAACTAAACACATAGCCATTATTGTACGTAGGGACTGCAGGACAAGTCCCAAAGTTTTACTCCTCCTGAAGTCTTTATTGCTAGCATTGACTGGTAGCAAGGGATAGTTGCACTTGATTTTAGCTTGATCAGTGTGTCGCAAGACACTGCTATGACTTGTATTAGTACACGTAGCTGCAGGCACCTTAAAACTACAGTTCTGTTTGGTGAAATCCAGCCCAAAGTGTGTATTTTGGGCTCCACGGTCCTCGGCACCCTGGCAGGGGTACGAACGCTGCTGGACGCACACATATACCGACACAGTGGTGTAGTGGGAACCGGTCCAGGGCGCCAGCTGTGTACCATGGGGTTGCATTTCACCTAGCCCAACTGTAGACCATGAGTGCTTGCGTGACAACCCTGCGAGTGCATTACGAGTGCACTGCGAGTGCATGCATGACCCGCGGATCGTACTTGCTGTGCCAACTGCGCGCGCGATCCGCTCGCTTGCCCACACTACAATGTGAGAGTGCCCTGTGAGTACATTACGAGCAGATCTACCCTGCTAGTACATTGCAAGTCCAGTACGAGTGCACTGCGAGTGTGTGCAGAACCCCTGCATAGTACTTGCTGTGCCAACTGCGTGCGCGATCCGCTCGCTTGCCCACACTACAATGTGAGAGTGCCCTGCGAGTACAGATCTACCCTACGAGACATTGCGAGTGCAGTACGAGTGCACTGCGAGTGTGTGCAGAACCCCGCATAGGACTTGTTGTGCCAACTGCTACGACAGCACGCTTGCTTTGCCTACGCACTGCACCCGTGCTATGTTGCCTGTCAGTGAACGCACAAACAAAGCTGGCGTGCGATCCCCCCCCCCCCCCCCCCCCCTCGTCCTGGCTCGCTTACTCATACTTGAGGATCACGCAATCAAGAATGCTACTGCTGATCTTGCTGGAACGTTTCTACTGGCTTGTCGAGACGTGTCGCATTGCGGTACGATTCATTGAACATATTTGCAATTATTTGAATCATTTCTTGTTGGTAGTTCTTGGACTGCAGAACATACACTATTGAGCTCTAGCTTCACTTTCTTTTCTCATTACTAGTATTGCAGAATCTGTATGTATCTGTTGCCCGAGAATCCGGAGAATTCATTACATGAAAGCGTTGTTTCGTGTGCCGAAGAATGTGCAGGCTGCAGGCAGTCATGTCGTGATTCTATGGCTGCAGCTGCACTGGCCAAACGTGCCACCACCATTGGACTAACTGTGACGTAGATACCGTATAATAAAATTCTGCACTGCAACTTTTTTGGCATTTCACGATTTTCTACATTTCAGCAGCGATATAGTATCGGCACGGGGTTGATACCAGTACATCACCAAAGTTGATGATTGTGAACATTTTCAGCTGCGTTTTAATTTCGGCGTTTTGGCTCGGTGCCGAATATACCGGTGGCCGAAATTAAATAGCTGCCGGAGTTTTGCACGTGTGTATTAACTGTATGCAGAGTAGCTAACTCGACTGCATGTACTGTAGTGGACCTGGAAATCCAGTCGATTGACCGGGGACAGCGCCCTCAGCGCGTACAGAACGCTGCTTGCAGTGCTCATGTTCATCCGATGTGACCAGAGCGCTGCGGCGCACACATGCATGTGTGTGCTGCTTGTCCTCGGCTACATGGCCAGCGCTCTGGGGCCGCTAGACGTGCGACCGGATTTCCATGTCCACGACAGTACATGTGTATATACATTGTGCAGCCCACTGCACTCTCGCCCAACCCAGCCGCATCCTTGCCATGGTGGTGATGGCGATGCTGTGCAAACACCATACTTAGTAGACTCTCTCTCTCTACATGTATGAGCCATTCAGCCAAGTGTACAGTGTCAGTGTGCGGGTGAGTGAAGTCACTACATCATGACATCAAGTCTCGTGTCCGTTCCCAAAGGGAATTCACGACGGCCGCTAACACCCGGCAAACCGTAGGCCTGCGGTGGAGCACTGCAGTTAAGACCGGGAAAAGTTTTCACCGGTTTGAAGCACCTCTGCCCCCCCCCCCCCCCTCCAACCTTTCATCTCCAACCATGTACCGGCACTACATCCCAGCAGTGTATGGCTGGCAATCTCGTGAACTCGGCTCCACGGCACCACTGGCACTGCATGAGCGTACATGTACACTCATGTTTTTCGATTTTCACAGCGTGTTACAAATTACCAAGCAAGGCTTCTATGTTAGTACGTACAGTCATGTAACAATTCTCGCTGTCACGTGATTTATATTAAAAAGTAGTAACTTCCTGAATTTCGTCAAATTTTTCCGGGAGATATTGGGGAAATAAAGTGGGAGATACAGTGGCAGCGGCTCGCGGCAGATTCCTTCCAAGCTACGTTAGCGATCGAGCACTGCAAGAAAGAAAGGGAGGGAGTATGAAAGCTGCGTAATAAACTGACACATGTATAGAACATGCTATCAGAGGTTACATGATACCGGTTCATGCCGGCGTAGTTGGGGATACAGAAGGGCACTACCGGTATCACTTTGTTTACGTCCCCATGGCGACATGACGTCATGCACCATGGTTACGCTCACTCATCAACGAGAGAGACACCATCTGCGCGCGCATCGTTTGAAAAGTGTAGATTTTCAGTAAATTTTTCGGTAGCGATGATTTTTGTGCGATCAATCGTTGTAGGAAACGTCTTCTCGCTTTTCTGCAATTCTGGCGACCTAGCTAGAACCTGCTGCTAGTGTCCCTCTTCACTCGTTTTTCAAAGGGGAAGGCAGCACTCGCAGAAGATTTTCCAAGAATGCAATGTCGACTGGTGCTCGTACTATAAGAAGGGAGAAATCAAAGTCCGCTCTTGAATCACGCCTGAGTCTTAGAAAATTATTTCAGAATACGCTTGTGTAGATTTCCTGCCAGTGCCACTGACATCTCGCGACCTTCAAATATAACTTGCTCGATCATCTCCCGCACTGACTGGTAAATTCGTCGGGTAGCTGTGGATGGATCGATTCAGGGAGGTCGAAGGTAAATACATCGAAGCACTTCAAACACGTTTCAAGACGCACTTCAAATTTTGTAATTGTGTCTTGAAAATTGTTTACAACAATTCGTACTTCAATACGCTGTTGAATTGTATCCTCTGCTTGGGAGTCTCGACTGTTTTATTGCTGCATGGCTTTCCTCAACACCGTTCACTGTACATGTATCGCGGAACGCAGATTGGATGGCATTGGAGGTGAATTTGATAATTTGTGACTGTGTCATCAACCAAGTGAGGACATCAAATATCAACAGGGACGTTCCGAAAATCACAAACGCTGCGAAATAGGTATGAAATGGTCTTACACACTGGTGGGTATTCTACATTCATTGTGTCATATCTTTAGACTGTTCGAAAGTTTGTCGTGCTGTGCAACTTTCACAGACTAATCCGATAATTGGCATGTGGCCCTATCGGCACACACTCATGCGTATGCCGCTGAGTCTATCTATATGTGCACGCACATGTGTGTATACCGTACTGGCAATATATGTTGCCGCGTAACGCAGGGGGGTGCGGCGTAACGCGCGACCAGGCTAGTGCGACAAATTTTCGTTGACTTCGTAACGCGCGTCCGGCGGGGTGCGGCGATCTTTTCATTGCAGTTCGCACTGCAAAAAAAAGGCTGAAAACTGTGAAAGCACGTGTTCTGTGCGACTTTGCATGTAACGCCCTGCGTGCGGCAAACATGTGCCAATGTAACGCTTCATGGCCTCACTACGGCAACATATATTGCCAGTACGGTACTTACACATTTTATTACGTATGCAAAATTAGGCAATCTACATGTACATATATGTCCGCAGATTGAGTATATATATATATGTGTGTGGGCACTCACTCCTATGACATAGAACGACAGTGCAGGCTATGTAGAGTCGCACGAATGTGTGTTACCCGGGTGTGTATATGCATGCGCACTCGCGCGGGCGTTTTGTGTGCGCGCCTGGCATGGCATAACGCCGTTCAATATGACTAGTGTTGAACCGTGGTAATTTGCCCCACCCCTTCTTTTTTCTATTGGCGTTGGATATGCAACTAATGACATAAACTCGGTTGTTGAAAACGAGTGCCATGCACCACAATGGATTGACAATAATATAATACAAGTAGCGCTGTAAAAGCGCTGGTAATACTCATGTTGCAGCCATGGCAGTTGTGATTAGCTTTCCAAGTCAAGCCTGCTGCAGAGATTATTGCACTCTGACCAGCTGGAGTGGCCCAGGACTGCAGGTTGTGGAGAACAGGAGTGATGCTTGTATATACGCTTGTATTTACAAGATGGACTTCGAAGTAACGTTAGGTGTATTACTTGTATGTTCTTCTGCCTGTGCACGTGTACATGTGCTGGTCAGTGTGGAACCGCCATCCATATCAGATGATACAGCTCAGCTGCTATCAGTCTCAACAGCTTATATCTGTCAAATAGGGTTTTAGTGACTCAATTTTGCTTACTGTGTTCAACAGAGTGGCATTGCACACAGCTACTTTATGTAATAGTAGCATCTTGGACATTTTATATTTTTGGTAGTTAGCTTCAGTAGAAACTTCTCCAGTGTGGCTCTTAGCTTCATTACCATGGAGACTAAGCATTCAAGTAATGCACGAAGAACAGTGGCTAGATGCGAAGTGAAAAGCCATTGGACCGTACCCAATGGAATACGCATTTAGTATAGCAGTATTGCTTGCTATGTTGGCAGCAAACACTGTATAATAATAATTGCATTACCAGTAGAAAGTGCCCAATGTGCATTGCTTCAGCACTGTGTTTTGGACAAAGCAGTCAAAAATTCCACATCAGTATTGGCTTCATGTTGGAGAAAGTTGTGAAAAACACTAGAGCATACATGTACACTCAATACACATGCTCAGCTACATGTATGGCATTTAGTATGTGGGCGACTTCAAAGTTCTATTTTGGTAGTTAGCTTCGGTAGAAACTGTCTAAACTTGATCCAAAGCTCTGCTACTATGTTCTGAAGATGTTGCAATCAAGTAATGTAAGACACGTATCTGCCGCATTGGAGCTACAGTTGTGAAAACCTTTAGACCATACACACAACGCACATGCTCAGCTATGGCATTTAGTATGTGGGCGACTTCAAAGTTCTATTTCGGTAGTTAGCTTCGGTGGAAACTGCTAAAACTTGATCCAAAGCTCTACTACTATGTTCTGAAGATGTTGCAATCAAGTAATGTAAGACACGTATCTGCCGCATTGGAGCTAGTTGTGAAAACCTTTAGACCATACACTCAATGCACATGCTCAGCTATTGCATTTAGTATGTGGGCGACTTCAAAGTTTTATTTTGGTAGTTAGCTTCGGTGGAAACTGCTAAAACTTGCCAAAGCTCTTCTACTATGTTCGGAAGATGTTGCAATCAATTATTGCAAGATACGTATCTGTCATATGGTGGAGTCAGGGGTTCTAAGGCGTTGGACAATGTCCCAGTGCAATGTGCTGATTCTTGAAAATATGGCATCACTTGACACTTCAAAGTTTTATTTCAAGAGTTACCTTCGGTAGAACCTGCTCAAACTTGCTACACAGTACAATTATTAGGTTATGATAACATAACCATCGAATACAGGGCAAGTCCAGTGTCAAATACGTGTGGGCGGGGCTAATATGTGGGACGTGTGCGCTGAAATGGGATGATTCCGAAAAGAGAAAAAGGTCACCTTCTGGCAGAATTCTTCCCACTTCTAAAGCTTATGCTGGTATTTAGCAAGTATACTACTGTCCTGATGTTGGACATCAAGAAAAATGGGGTAACTACGAGTGCTACGGCCAAAAAAGTGGTTTTCCGGTGTTTCTTGGCCTAAATTGGCAATTGTGAGTATGCTATGTTTGGCCCCTCCCCCGAGTGAAACCGGCCGATAGAACTTGATAAAATTTTGTCTCCGTACACTAGATATCCTACGGAACAAAGTACAATCGTTTGTAGCCACGTTTCAAACAAAAAAATTTGGACCCGAGGGGTAGGAGCCACCTTAAAGGGGAAGTATACCCTAAAATCAAATTTTCACCAGTTGTAGTCTTCTGGGTGCTGAGTCGAATGGTCTTGGTCCGAGGAAGCTGCGACGCTCCCTTCCTGCTTGAATC